CTGCCACTGAGGGGCCCTGGCTGGAACATGCGCCCCAGCACCCACCCGGTCGGGACGCCCCTCTCGTTAAGCCCCTGTCTTTTCTCTCCGGTCCCTGTGTCCTCTCCACTGGTCTCTGCGGGCTGAGGGTGTGGGGAGCACGCCTCCGGTGGTTCTGTCTGGGGCCTCTCCCTGGCTTCGTGCACCCGGGCTCCCCGTGTCTCCCGTGGCTGGGCTCCCTCACAGCCTGGCATTGGGATGCCAAGAGCCAGTGTCCAGGACAGCCAGGTGGTCGCAGGCAGGGTCCAGGAGCAGGACAAGCATCCTCCCCACCGCTGGGCAAAGTTCTGGAGGAGAACCTGCCCGCTGAGGACAGGGAGGAGACTCGGGGTCCACGGGGTGGCGGGCTCAGGGACAACACCACCCTGTGGGGACTTCTGCCCTGCTCCCGCCTCCCACGCAGGACTCCACAGGCTGGGCTCCTAGGCCTCATGGGGCTCTGTGACCACGACCCCTCCTGTCTGCCTGTGACCCCACAGGACTCCCCCAGGCCTCTGGGCTCAGCCGACCATCAGCTAGACTCCAAGGAGGACCAGCAGGGCCCTTGGCCCCGGGAGGCCAGAGGGTCCCAAGGCGGAGGACATGGTGCCACCAGCTCCTTTGAAAGTGGGGAGCGTCTTCTGAATTCCAAAGGCCAGGGGCTGAGCCCGCCGGTAATGAAAATGCACGTCCTTTAATTAAAGGACGTCCCCTGAAATACGATGTATGACACACTCATTTTCCCACTGTTAATTACTAATTAATGAAGCTATTTCAATTAGCAGCCCTCCCCACCTGCCTGTGCGGCCCAGCGCTGGGTGGATCTGGGCCGCTGGCAGCCACCGCACTGAATATTCATGCCGCGACTTCGGCGCTTTTCAATTAAACACAATGAAGTGAGTCCTGGTCACAAGTACCCGGTGCACCGCCTGCGTCTCCCTGCACGGGAGCCAGAGGGGGACGGGGTGGACTCTGCTGCAGACCGTGGAGACGGACCATGTCCATGGTCCCGGGAGGAGCCCCAACCAAGGGCCTCTGCACCCCTAGATGGCCCCTGCGTGTCCTACTAGCTCTGGGGGATGGCTGCCCAAGGGGACAGATAAGTGGGAGTCCCCACGGGGCAGGTGGGGACCCCCAGGGCACTGCAGTCCCACAGCCAAAGGACAAAGCCAGAAATGGGGGCAGGGAGGGCAGCCCAGAGAGGTGGAGGGGCCATTAACATGCTAATTGCAAACATTAAGTGGTCATTAAAAATCCTGCTTTAAGGTGAGGATGGAAGTGTCACTTACAGCGACTAGGAGGGGACAGCCCTGCATGTGAGCAGGGGGTGGGGGCGGCCACCCCTGGAGGTCTGCCTGGGGCTGTGGGACTTGGGGACAGGACATCAGGGGAGCCTGGAAGGGGCACGGTCTGGTGCTGGAGGGGCAGCTCTGAGCACAGTCATGGCTTTCTGGCTGCCCACCTGCCCGGGTGGGGGCAGCCCCTCCCCTGAGGACCCACCCTGGGGAGGGGACAGAGGGGGCGACCCCAGGCCCCGCCCTTCCCCTGTCTCTCCTTACCTGGGTGTTCAGCCTCAAGCCCTCCCGCCTCCCAGGCCCTGGCAGTGACCCACCCCCCCATGGCCAGCATGGTGCCCTGAGCCCGAAATGCCTCCCACCTGCTCCCTTCCTGAGGGACATCAGCACCCACTGATACGGCAGCCCCCTTGGGTCCTGGGAGGAGTCTGGGGACAGGGGATAGGGCGAGAGTGGGCACAGCCCTGTTGGACGGCACCCTCTACCCACCAGCTGCAGGGCGACAGCCACCTTGCCCTCCTGGACACACACGCCCCTCCTTTGGGAGCCAAAGGACCGTCGCGGTTTGGGGTGGGACCCTGCTGCTCCATCCGATGTCGCCACCTACACTCAGGGTTCCTGTTGGCTGCTGGATCCCGCCAGGGCTGCCCGGAGGTGGGGACATGTCTGAGCCTGACTGCGCCAGCTAACACGTGGGCAGGCCGGGCGCCCCGCGCCCTCAGGGGCACCCCTGTTTCCAGGGCCTCACTGTTGGCAAACACCCCCCCACACACACACCACGGGGGCCCTGGCCCAGGTCCAACATCCGCCTGGGAACGCTAGGGAGACCACGCCCACCTCCAGGGGGCATTCTGGACCACAGCCAGCCTTGGGGGGAGGAGGCTGGGCCCTGCACCCCTCCAGGGCTCTGGGTTCAGGAGGGGGGGACGCTCTCCAACAGTTCACAGTTGTGGATTAAAACAAAGGTGCTAAGAGCACACCCAGGTCCACAGCTGCATTACCCGCAGCAGCCTAGAGGGGGCGCAGCCCTCGCGTCCACAGACGATGGATGAGCGCCCCGCGGTTCGCCCCACCGTGGGCTCGCAGCCTCGAAAGGAAGGACGTGTTGACTCGTGTGACAGCGTGGATGGGCCTCGAGGACACTATGCTCGGGGAATACGCCAGTCGCAAAGACAAATACCGTGCGGTTCCACACGTGAGGTGCTTGAGGTGTCAGTCAGAGGGTGGAATGGTGGGTGCGGGTCTGGGGGTGCTTCCTGGGGCCGGCTGTCAGTTTGGGGAGGCGGGGAGCACCAGGGGACGGTGATGACGGCCGCGCAGCGTGCGGATGCGCTGGGATTGCTGTGCTGCACCCCGTGTGGTCGCCTTGGTGGCCCCCATTCCTGTGTCCCAGGGAGTTCCCCGGGCTGGGCTCCCGCCAGGGCAGCAGGTCACAGAAGTCCTTTCTGGGAAGTTTCCGTCCTCAGTGCCCCTCCTCCAACAGGCCAGGCCCACCCGGGGCCAGACTCACCAAGAAAGTCTTTTTTTTCAGATTCTTTCTGATCAAAAGTGGGGAGACCGCAGGGGGAAGCCCCCGCACGCTGGGCCTGGGCAGTGACGGCCGGGTGGGGCCCGGGGCCTGTGGGAGCTACAGCAGTGCCCACTCCCACCCGCAGGCAGGCCCCCCTCGACGCCCCGCTGTCTGTCCGTCCCGGGGATTCTCCTTGGACCTGTCTGTGACACTTCACTGTTTCCTCGCGAGTGAGTTCAAGAAATCTTTAACAAGCATTTATTCTTTACAAATTGTGTTAGTAAAGTAACAGTCTTCTTTTTAAATAGATTAACAGTCATTATTTAAATAAGGCTTTGGCGTGGTTTTCCATATTTTTGTATTTCTTTTCTCTCCATAGACATCTGGCAACATTACTATTACTATTATTATTAATTCATGAGACGGCTCCTCTGTCCTGAATGGGAAGGGGGGTCGCCTGGCTCTGGGGAACGTGGTGGGCTGGGGGTGCCCAGGCTCCCCTCGCAGAGGTCACCAGGCGCTGGGAAGCAGAGTGCATTTCTGGTCTCCAGGGATCCATGCGAGGGGGATGCCAGGGGCTGGGTCCCCAAAACAACCCAAGGGCTGGAGCTCACTGCCCCCCCCGCCCCCCGCCCCCCAGCTTTCCTCTAGAGCTGTGGTCCTCACGGGGGCAGCTGCCCTGGGGACACTTGGTGATATCGGGAGACAGTGTTGGGGGCCAGGGACAGTGATGAACACCCCGCAGTGCATAGGACGGCCCACCACAGAGAACAGTCCCCACCCTGAGTGCTGAGAAATAAAGCAAAGCAGGTTTGGGGGGAACTGCAGTCCAGACTCACGTGACAGGCACGGCGCACGGGCAGGCGGGCGGCCGGGACACGTCTGACTCTACACTAACTCAGCTCACCCCTGACAGTTCCACCACTGGCCGAGGCCTGACCAGGGCCGGGCACCGGCGCCAGCCCCAACCCCCCACCCCACTGAGGCCTCCCTCCTCCGCCGCACATCTGGGGTCCAGAGCGAGAGGCCCTCAGACTGAGCCGCTCGCCCGCCCGGGGGCTGACGGAGTGGGTCCTCGGGGCTGTGGGCTGGGCAGCTAGAGGTCCTCACGGCCGGGACTCAGGTCCACCCGCTGGGCCTTGCCGAACATCAGGAAGGCGCACAGCCCCAGGCTGCTGATGGCGGCCACCAGGTTGAACACGGACGTCCAGGAGCCCGTGGTCTCGATCAGGTAGCCACCCAGGCCCACGCCCACAACACCTGCACTGGAGGAGAGGGACAGGCAGGCTGAGTGACAGGCAGTCCCCAGGGCAGGTGGGGGGGACTGGAAGAGAGGTCGGCGGGGGCCTGAGAGGGGAGCCGAATTTGGGGGTCCAAGGGCCAGCCTCAGTCTCAGAGGAGCAGAGACCTCACAGGCTGTGCAGGGACCCCCCCATGTCCCTCTGCGTCCCCCACAGGGGACAGGGCAGCAGGAGGGCCGGGTGGGGGGGTGAGGCCTGTCCTTGTCATCCAGGCACTGAAGCGTGGGGACCCTGGACCGTGGGGCTTGCACTCACATTTGTGGGTGGGGCTGGGGGGGAGGTGAGCATGCCGAAGGCAGCTCTGTTCTCTCCCTGGGCCAGAGTGGGTCTGTGTGCCCACCACACACACTCACTGGCCTGACACTGAGGATCCCTGAAGGGTCCCCCCCTCGGGAGCCAGGGGCGGTGGGCGGACACAGGGGTGGGAAGCCAGGAGGCACCTCAGCACCTCAGGCCGGGGACCCCAGCCCACCTCTCACCTGCCAAGGCCCCCGCTGTGTTGGCCACACCTGTGAACAGGGCAGAAAGGAGGATCAGTCAGAGGAGGCGCCCTGTGACCCTCCCTCGACAATCCACCTGGGAGCAGCCCCTGAGAGCTTGGGGAGGGGACGAGGTGGGCTGAGCATGCCCTGGTGGGGGGGGGGGCAGCGCTTCCTAGTCATACAGGGGCTGCAGTCCTCACCGAAGAGCACGCCAGCGCAGGACGGGGCCAGGTCCTGGATGTTAACAGAAATGCCACTGTGGGAAAGAGGGAAGGACATGGGCGAGTGACCCCAGGGCCGTTGGCCCCCCAAAACCAGTGTAGGTCCTCTGAGCAGCTGGAGCCAAAGAACATCAAGGGGGTGCTCGGGACCCTGCCCAGCTGGGATGCTCAGCCATGCTGGGATACTCAGCCATGCTGGGGTGCTCGGGACCCTGTCAAGCTGGGGTGCTCAGCCATGCCGGGGTACCAGACCATGCAAGGGTGCTCAGCCATGCCAGGGTGCTTGGGACCCAGCCCAGCCGAGGTGCTCAGCCATGCTGGGGTACCAGGTCATGCCAGGGTGCTCAGCCATGACGGGGTGCCCGGGACCCAGCCCAGCCGAGGTGCTCGCTCGGCCAGGCCAAGGTGCTCGGCCATCCCTGGGCCATCTGAGTCTCCCCACCCTGGCTCTCCCGTCTCAGTAGTGACACAGAGCAGGGACCCAGCCCCCGGATGCACAAACAGGAAGGCAAGCTTGCTCAAATGCACACTCCTTTGCTGTCCACGAATTTGAAAAATGACCTTTAATGGCCAGTTCCCAAAACAACTCCGCAGGAAGTTCCTCTGATTAGGCGGGGTTGACGCTGGGCACTGGGGAGGGCGGGGGCCGAGGACAGGAGCTGGCCCCTCACAGTAGAGGCACAAGCAGCAGCCTGGAGACTGGGGCTTCCTCGCCCAGCCCCCTCCGCACGGCATTCGTTCCTCCAGATGGCCCAGGTCCAGGCCGGCTGACAGCCAGACAGCCCTCTGCCTCCGTGGCTCACACGTGGAGATCTGCCACGTGCCGCCCTCCACATGGCCCTGAGCCAGATGGCTGCTCCCGAGCGCCCAGGACGGGTGGTGCCGGAGGTCCCCGAGGGCAGACGGGCGGCGCTGGTGGGCAGGGGGCGGCGCCCTCACCTGTGGTTGAAGGTCTGCAGGCCGATGGAGGCTGACGCAAAGAATACGGACTTGCAAAAGCTCGAGGTGTGACCCAAACACAGGGCGAAAACGCTGGACAGGCCCAGTCCCATCACCTGCGGACGAACCCTGGTGTCAGGCGGGGCTGGGGCACCCCCAGGGGACGTGTGGGACAAGCTCCATAGTAAGCCATCCCCACTGGGCAAAGCTAAAGTGGACACCCCACGGATGTGAGCAAACCCAGGCCCAGAAGCGGGCGCCGGGGCTCAGAGGGGCAGAGAGTGCCCACAGCCCTGAGAAGGGTGACCGAGCCGGCTCCCTACACTGCCCAGGGTGCCCTCCGACCGCCCTGTTACACCAGTTGCCTCTGGATCAGGTGGGTTGGGGATACGACCCTCAGGTCCCAGGACCACACAGGTGTCCATTCAGCCTCCCACAGCCTCCCTACCTGCATGAACTTCCGCACGGCGATGGTTCTGTAACCTGGACAGAGGGGAGACCAGGACACGTTCTCACTGGCCTGTTGGCATTGACAGCCCCCCACTCACACCCACAGGGCAACCCGGGCAGGGCTGCAGGAGGGAGCAGGGGGAGGCGAGCCGGGCTCAAGCCGCGGCATTGTCGCGGAGGGTGTGCCCGCATCCACTCTGGTTGGTCTGCACCCACCGGGGGCAGAGGTTGGGCAGGCACACAGGAGGGAGGCCACGCAGACACTTACAGATGTGCACTTGGGTCCTGGGCTCACACCTGACTGACCTCTGACCCCACCAGGTGCCCTTTCCACCTCGGAAGAGGATTGGGGGTGGCACCCAGCCCTTGGGAGGTGACTCCACAGTCACAGGGGGACTCGGATCCTCTCAGGGCATCCCAAGCCCACCCTTAATGGGGAAACTGAGGCCAGGGGAGTCACCTGCTGAGTCAGCCCGGGAGCCAGGCTCCCACGGGCCCACCCTGCGCTGGCTCTGAAGGGCCAGGGGTCTCGTCTCCCAGCTTGGTCCTCAGGGGCCATGGCCGTAGCTGCCTCCCAGGAGGGCGCCTCCCCGTCTCCCAAGGTGAGGCGGGGCCCTGGCTTGTGGCGCATCCGGTCCCCAGGGCTCACCCTGACTGATGAGATGGTCAGAGAGAAACCCGCTGAACAGACTGGCAGGAATGGCCACCAGCCAGGGCACCACATTGAAGACCCAGCCCTGCAAGGAGGGAAGAGGATCTCAGAGGCGGCCAGGATGGCAGCAGCCCCCACCCCCACCCCCACTCCCGGGGGCGGCCTCCCTAATGTAACCGTCCCCCAGTGCTGGGCCTCCAGCTGTCTCCCCTGCAGCTCAGTCTCCCAGGGCAAGAGGGGTGGAGGGCACACACTCCCGGCCCGGGAACGCACAGCTCGGGGTGTCCTGGCCGCTAGGCCCAGGAGGGTGGCCAGATGGCTGGGTGGAGCGAGCCGAGCTGACCGGCAGGTGACAGCCCTGTTCACATCGGGCCCCTGCCTGGCCCCTCCTCAGGAAGGACCATCCACAGATGGCCAGCCAGGCCCGGCCAGGGCTCCATTCAGGGTCACGGCCCTGGAGGTGAGGGCACCAGGGTGGGGTGGAGGCGCTGTGCCTTCCTGAGAGGCCAGGCCAGGTGCCGGCCCGGTGGGGGGTCGTCTCCGGGCCACAGGCCCTCGGGCATCAGGGCCGCAGGGGCCATCTGTACACCAGGGGTGGAGCCAGCCATGCGGTGCAGCCCCACCCTGTGGGACCCGGGCAGACCCACCTTGGAGCTGGGGAAAGTCTCCTTGAAGAAGGTCGGCAGCCAGGACAGCAGGATGAAGAAGGAGCAGGCCGCTGAGAGCTGAGAGAAGATGGCCGCCCTGCAGGGACAGTGCACTCGGGTCCACCAGTGCTGGGCGGCCGGAGGCCCTGGGAGACCCTGCTTGTGACCAGTCGGGGCTGGGACCGCAGTGTGCCCACCTCCGCCCCGCCCCACAAGGTGACCCGGCGGCCGGCTCACCAGACAGAAGGCTTCCGGAAGAGCTGTCTCCAGGGCACCCTGGGTTTCTTGGCCATCGGCAGGCCTTGCGCCAGAATGCCCAAGGCCAGGAAGAGATCTGGGGGAGCAAGGGGTGCCCGTGTGACATCTATTCAGGACCAGGAGCGAGAGCTGCCCTGAGCGCTGTGACTGGGGGCAGCTCCCTGAGACCCCCTCCCCGTGTCCAGGGCCTTGGAGGGTCCATGTTTGTGTTGGGTTTGAACAAACTTTTCTGGTCCTCCCTCTGCCCCCCAGCTCCGAGTCCTCCTGCTCCCTTTCCGCGGTCTGACTCTCGGCTCAGCGGACCACTCAGCGCTGAACGTGGGGGTAACTGTGACCCAGGGCCCAGAACGGGCATGTTTTCTGAGGACCCTGTCTGGGACGGAGCCGCAGCCCCTGGTCCCCTGAGTGGCTGTCCTGTGATTATCATGTTTGGTGGCAGCCTGAGAGGCCCGGCTCCAGGCCCTGGCCCCTCCTGGGTGGCCACATTCGCGGGCTGCGCCTACCTGGCCACAGTTACCTTGTTCGCTCAGCAGGTACCTGTACACGTAACACACCCACAGCAGGGTGAGGCCACCCGAGAGGTAGAAGACGCTCTGCCAGCCGTACCAGTCCAGGAGCAAGGAGCCCACCGCCCCTGTCACCAGCGTCCTGGAACAACGGAGGACCATGGCCATGACCTTGGCTTCACCCAGGAAAGGAGGCACCTGGACAAGCCCACCCCGTACGAGTTGAGTGCCTGGGCGTGTTCAGGAGACCCTGGCTGCCACATGGCCACAGTGCACTCAGGCACAGCTGCGTGGCCAAGACGTGGCACAGGGGCCCTGTCTTGCTCCCTGGCCTTCCAGGGGGCCTGCAATTGCAGTGTGGGTCCTTCTAAACGAAATCCCAAGTACCCCGGGGCCCTCGCCTCCTGCACATCACTGGACGGTCTGTTCGGGGGCTGCTTCTCCACTGTGCCCGTCTGCCAACGCTTGGCCAGGAGACATTAAAGGAGAAAACAACTGGGCCCTGGATTGAGGTCACTGGGTCTGTGGGGGTCGCTGCCTCTCTGAGCCCCCATTTCCCTGCCCCCGCCACGGGCCCAGGCCACCCGGGTGACGTGGAAATAAATCGGGAATGTTTCCTGGGCTCCGGTATTGCTTCTCCGAAAGTCACCTTGCCCTGCGTGCCCTGGGTTCTGATTTGGGCTGCTCCAGTCCACCCACGAGCACCCCTTGCCCCTCTGGATTCTTGCTTAGGTCTTGGAGCAGCGAAGTGAGGGCTCTGAGCCTGGGGTCACGCAGCCCCGTCAGGAAGGGAGACATCCAGACCGTGACACGCCCTGCAGGCTCAGTGCAGGCCCCGCCCCGTCGGACGCGCCCCGCCCCGTCGGAACGCCCCCGCCAATCCAGGGGCTCCACACTGATCGGAAGCGCGGCGGTCCTGGCCCACACGCTGGAGCCCAAGGCCCAGGGCACCTGCCCCCAGAACCTCTGCACAGTGATGGGAGCAGCCAGCGCCTCCCCAGAGCACAGAGCCAGCCAGACCCACATCACCCTGGGCTAAGATGTGCCCAGGTGGCCTGTCCCACCGCCTGTGGGGCTCTGCGGAGGCTTTGCCTCTCCTGGTCCCCGAGGCTGGGGCTTACCCGAACTGGGAGCCGGCCCCCACGGTGCTGTAGGTGAAGGCTCGCTCGCTCTCCCGGACCTTCTGGGACAGCAGGCTGGTCAGCGCAGGGAAGTACACCCCTGGAAGGAGCAGAGAATGCAGACTCGCGGGCGCGGGGTCCCAGGGAAGACTGCTCCCACTGTCGCCCGGCTTGCATAGCCACCAGCTCTACAGTCCTGGAACACGCGTGACGTGTCCACGTGCACACACACACACGCACAGTGCACATACTCGGTGAGACCCAAACGGCCCGTGCTGGGTCCTGATGTGATGCTGCCCTGTAGCTACTTGATGTCACCACAAGGAGGCAGGAGAGAGCACAGAACCTCCCGTAGATTTCTCTACAACTTCCTGTGAATCTGTAATTTTGTCATAATCTAATTTTTAAAAAACGGCACTGGGGACTTCAGCTCTTGCTGTGGCACCTCGGTTTTCTCCAAAAGCAGCCAGGTGGGGGATAAGAGGCTGGGGAATGGAACAGGACTTGGTCCCTGCCCACACAGAGTGCCAGTCACCCAGAGTGACAGCTGCCCCTGGAGGCCAGTCTGTCCCCCATAATGGGCCACAGACCAGCACACAGAGCAGTCCTTTGGTCTCTCAAGAGGGTGAGGAGAAACAGGCTGAGCTGCGGGTCACCCAGAGGGCGCCTCACAGCCCAGCCCTGGGACCTCCGTCAGCCGCAGAGAGCACCAGCCACGAGCCACATGGGGACCACGTGGGGTGGCTCACAGGAGCACAGGGACTGGTCCACCAGGACCACCCAGGGGCCTGACCTGGGAGGCTGGTCAGAAAATAGGCACAAGCCAATTCCAGGACAACTGGGCTCCCCAGGGCCCATGCCCTGTCCCAAGATGTGAGGGGGTCACCAGGGGCCGGCAGAGTTATGTGCTGAGGAAGGGCCCAGAATCCACGCACTGGGGTGGTACCCAGGAGACTGACGCTGTCAGATGCCTGGCTGGGGCAGGCGGGAGCTCAGAGGCATTGGGTCCCGGGAGTGGGGGCTGGGCACCACCTGTTCCCCTGGGCTAAGGGGGTCTTTGGGGCTGTCTCCAGGAGTCGGATGCGACCAGAGCCCGGGTGCCCCCACCATGTCCGTCAGCCTCTCAGCGTGGACAGTAGTCACACAGCAGTCCGGCTGCCACCGGGGTCCCTGAGTGGCCTTGCTGGCCTGGAGGATGTGTGATGTTCTAAACGGACACTGCTCAGATGCCCCGGCGTCATGAGGCCAGGCTGCCCACCTGCCCCACGCAGGCACACGCCGGAGCACACGTGCACGCTCTCCCCGTGACAGGGTCGAATGCCAGCAGCACGAGGGGAGCCCCTGCGGGGTGCCTACCTTGGAGCAAGCCCGTGAGGATGCGCGAGAAGGTCATGAAGACCAGGTGGGCGCTGCCCAGGTGCGCGAGCAGCGGGGTGGCGGCAGTGATGAGGCCCCAGGCAGAGGCTGACAGCAGGATGACCTTCTCACCCCCGACGCTGGAAGGGACAAGAGGGTGGTGACCAAGGGGCTGAGAGGCCGGGCTGAGCTGCAGGACCCGAGATCCTGCTGGGGAGACACCAGGGGTGGGAGCCCGGGCCACCCCTCCTCAGAGCTGCCCTCTGGGTCACGCTGTGCCACACCCCTCTGCGGAGGCGGCCGAGGGTGACAGCACCCGGTCCAGTCAGTCTGTCCATCCCCATCGCCCCCAGAGCTCTCACTAGGATGCACCCTCAAACCCCTGGACCTCGGGTCTCCCAGCTCCAGCCTCCTCTGGGGGCCTCTCCCCACAGGAATTCCTAGGAGGCCCTCCCCCAAGAGCTCTCCAGCCCAGTGAGGGGGGTGGGGCGGCAGTTACCGGTCCCCCAGGTGGCCGCCCACGATCTGAGTCAGGCAGTAGCCCCAGAAGAAGCTGCTGAGCACGATGCCAGCTTCCTTCTTGTTCCAGCCGAAGTCCTGGCTCATGGAGACGGTGCAGACGGGCATGGAGACACGGGCACAGTACAGCAGGCACGTGCCCAGCAGCAGCGTCCCCGTCCATGCCTGGCACTCGGGCCTGGGGGAGGGGAGGAGCGGTCAGGCCCAGAGGGGCAGAGTCCGATAGAAGCACATGGCACCTCCCAGACGTCTAAATGCTACCCGTCGACTCCCGGGAGAAGAGACAGACTCAAGGAATGTCGCTAACAGCAGAGGTTTGGAGCCGCCCACAGGGCTGGCTGTGGGGTGGCTTAAATAAACCACGGTTGGGGAGCTGCTGTCCAGGACCAAGGCAACCCGACCCAGGAAGGCAGCCAGGCGGGAGCTTATGGCTGGAGCCCACCAGGGGGCGGCATGCTGGGCAAGAGGACCCCAGTAGAGGCAGAGAGGGAGAGTCCCACAGCTGGGGTGGGACCAACCACAGGTTGGGGGCAGGACAGTGGGTCCTACAGGGTCCCCAGAAAAGCTGGGTCTGCCCAGCAGAGGACCTTGGGCAGGCGGTGCTAGGCGACTAGCGGGGGGACACGGTGCTGTGGGGCCTCTTGGAAGAACCTGGGCAGGGGTGCGGTAGCTGGCTGCTAGAAGGCCGCCTGACAAATGTCCACAGAGGGCGTGTCCACAGAGCTCCTGGCTGGCGTCCTCGACTGTCCGTCGCCAAAACCAAGGGCGGTCAGAGAGGGAGGCAGGAGGCGCCCAGGAGACCTGCCATGAGGACCTAGCGCCTGCGGGGGCCCATGAGCCCTGGGCCATGGGGCAGAGGCCTGGCACGCTGTGGACTTCGGTCTGCGACTGTGTGTCAACACCAGCTTACTGCCTGTGACAAACTGGGACTCTGACCTCAGGGGAGACCACGCTGCCTTCGTGGTTTCGTGACCCCCTCCACGAGACACAGCCTACTTTGCACAGGCGGGAGATGGCGGCGGGGAGTAGGCACCCCGCTGACTTTCCTGTCTTTGTGACATCCCTGAGAGTGGGGGTGGCTGGTCAGGACAGTGGCGAGGCCTTGAGCAGCCTGTGGGGGACTCAGGGTCCTGCCTGCACTTGGTCTTGCCCACAGGCATGAGCTTACTAAGGACACAGAGCCGGGCAGCCTGAGCTGCCATCCAAGTCAGGCTGGCCAGCCAGGCTGAGCCCACCTGTGGGAGCTGGCAAAGGACCCCGTGGATGGGCCTGCTCCTCGGCAGTGCCGTGACCCCCAATGCTCGTCTTGGGGGCCCCCCGGCCCTCGGTTTCCCTGTGCCCCTGCACACAGCCTCTGCAAGCCCATGCGTGGCGGTTTGGTCTTTCGCCACCCGGGTAGACCGGACAGCGGAGGGCGTAGGATCACGACCATCACTCCCCACAGACGGCCCGGCCCAGAGGTGCGTCTGAAAGGGGGCACTGGCCCTGGCCGGGTGGCTCAGTTCATTGCAGCAGCATCCCGTACACCAAAAGGTAGCAGGTTCGATTCTCAGTGAGGACACCTACGTTTCTCTCTCTCTCCCTTCCTTCCTCTCTCTAAAATTCAATGAAAACATATCCTTGGGTGAGCATGGAAAAAAAGAAAAATAAATAAAATGGGACTTTATTCCTTTAGGTGGTCAAAACAGTGAAGGGTCCCCTGCGTCCAGAGGGGACGGTGCCCCCAACTCGCCCTCCCTCAGGCACACCTTGAGAACGACCCTGAGAGCCTGGCTCTGTTTGCTCTCTGGGTGGAACTTCCAGTTAGAAACAGCAGAGACGAACTCTCTCTGGGAGGTCAGATCCAAGCTGCCCCCGGCCTCCTTCGGGCTACAGAGGTCAAGAAAGGCCCATCAGCTTCCAAACGAGTGGGCTCTGGGGTGAGGCGCTTGTACGGGCACTGCCCTGGGAGCCGCGTGGGGCAAGGTACTGCCTGCTTTCTCTCTGGGCCCTGGAGGCCCCCACAGGCCTGTTCCTAAGCTGGGGGGCTGTGTCAGCGAGGGGGGCAGAGGGACGCCCTTCACAGCTGCTGGGGACACAGTGAGGAAGTCTGGCGGCAGGAGGCGACGCGGACCCAGAAGGCCCAATCTTGCAGCAGGGCCGGGCAGGAGAGGCTGCCAGCTTCCTCTCGCCACGTGGCCTGGCCCTGGGCCTCAGGCCTGTGCCCCCAACTCTTGTGAAGCCACTGGAACGTCTGCTTCCTGAAACGGCCCGTGTGCAAGCCCGTCCACGGCCAAGCAAACAGGTGGTCACGTGGCCCCTTGATTCAGAAAAGGGAACTGTGTGGGCACCATGGGACTGGAGGACTGCGGACAAGAGGACAAGGCTGCCGGCCGCCCCCACACCTGGGAGGTGGCTGCACAGTGGCCCTGACTCCTGGGTTGCTGAGCACAGACGTGGCAGTCCAATGGCAGTCCCGGCAGAGGGCATGCAGAGCCGGGGGCAGTAGCTTTTACTATTATTATCATTATTATCACTCAGGGGTGTAAACAGCCTTCACCCCCCGCTGAGCACGACTCCCCGGGGGCCCCACAGACCCCTGCAGACGTCCTGGGACTCAGGTGCCGTTTTACAGTCACCAGAGGGAAGTAGTAACGGCAGAGCCAGCCCAGGCTATTAAACCATCACCTGGTTGAGAAGTTTGCAGAATATTCCATAGCCCTGAGCAATAACCTCTGCCCAGGGGGCCAGCTGCCTATCCAGCCTGCCACCTGGCTCAAGCTGAGAGCGTGGCCCCACCCTGATAACCAGCAGGGTGCAGGGGAAGGAAGTGAGGGAGAGGCTGGCCAAAAGCACCCCTGGTCCAGGCACACCCCTAACCGTCCCTAATCTAGCCTGGGAGAGGCCGGGGCTGTGGCTCGGGCTGTGTGGTCACCCTCTCGTTGAGCCGGCCTCCTCCCTGCTCCGTGCCCTGTCCACAGGGAGTCTCCTGGCTCTGGAAAGCTCCTTATGTGTTTTTGTTTTGAGTCCTCACCCAAGGATATTTTTCTATTTATCATCAGATAGAGTGGGAGGAAGGAAGAGAGAGGGAGAGGGAGAGAGAAACATCGATGTGAGAGGGACACATCGACTGGTTGCCTCCCATACGACCCCGACCAGAGCTGGGGACGAACCGCAACCCAGGTAGGTGCCCTTGACTGGAATCGAACCCGGGACTCATTGGTCTGCAGGCTGATGCTCTAACCGGAGTCAAACCAGGCAGGGCTGGAAGGCTTCTTATGAATGTCAGCCTCTCCACTCTCCCCAGTAGCTTTGCCTTTATCTGGGTCCCAACGCTGGGGGACTGTCCCATAGGGCCTCCCTGCAACCCCGTGCTGGGGGCACAGGGGCAGGAAGGTGCCAGTGTCCTGCCGCCAAATGCAACAGGGAGGCCCGAGAGCAGGTTCCCAGGGACTCAACGCTGGAGGTGGACAAGCCTTGGAATTTCAGAGCCTGACTCTGGGCCCAGGTCCCGCTGGCCTGTCCTCAGTCCACAGCTGAGCCTTGGTGGCCGGGGCTCCCGCCTCGTTCTCTGTCTACACACTGTAGTAGAAACGGATTCGAAAAGGAGCCGGCGACCTGCTTGGGCCCGTCCTCCCCCATTGCCGACTTCTCCCCCAGGGACCTCGTCCACATCACCTGGCCGGTGGTGGGGGCACTCAGCCGCCCAGCCTCGGGCTCCAGCGTGTGCCCGTGACCAGCCCCTGCCTGCCCCATGTGGTGACCGAACTGCTCCTCTGTGCTCTCAGGTGTGGTCCTACTGTGTGGCCGGACCGGCAAGGTCAGTAGCAGAATGTGAGACCAGGCGGGACACAGCCAGGAGGAGGCTCCCTACCCCAGGCAGGCCTCCCAGAGGGCCCCCTGCCTGTATGATCTGCAGGCCCCAGGAGCCCGGAGAGGGCCCGGGACTGGGTGAAAAGGAGGGACCCGACTGTGCACTCCTGCCCCCCAGGAGGAGCAGCGGGACGTCTCCGCACAGGGCCCTCCCCTGGCCACCCCCTGCGCAGGGCCCCTACCTGGACCACTGGGTGTCCTCCGCCGGGTCCCTGCGGGCTTCGTCCGGGGGCGGCTGCATCGGGCACTGATGGCCACAGCGCAGGGCGTCCGAGCCCGTCCCGCCGGCAGCGCCGCCCAAGTCCACGTGTCAGTCTTAGCAGCGCTTCCGTCCGGCCCTCCCAGGACGTGTCGCCCCGGAGGGCCACCGCGGTGCGGGGGAGGGGGCAGCAGGCGGAGCGCCCCTCTGGGTCCCGCCCTGCGGATGTCTGTCCCGGAGGCCGCGCCCGGTGCCTCTGCGGGTCAGGCGCTCCATCCACCCGGCTCCTGGGGCGCCCGCATCCGCTCCCCCACACCCCGCCCCTCCCCCCACCGGCGGCCGCTCGGGACTCCCCTGCAGCGCCCGGGGCAGATGGGGCTTTGGAGGCGCTGGGCCCGGGTGAGCGTGGGGAGGGGGCGGGGCTGCTGCCCCATTTGTAAATGGGGGTGGCTGGTCCCCACCTCGCCGGGCTGTGTGCCCATCAAATGGAACCCGGGGTGGTCTTATCCAGGTGAGGGGACAGTGAGACGCAGGTGTAAGCAACTTTCCAAATAGATCTTTGAGGGCCAGAGCTGGGGCCCCAGGGCCCTCATCTGCGAAGCCTCCGCAGCGGGTCTCATGCCCACTGGGGGGCTCCGCCAGAACGGAGAGGCCTGAAGGCTGGGGTGACCGGCAGGGACCAGCCTTCTGGCTGCTTCTCCCGGAGCTGCTACCTGCTCAGACACTCCACCCACCTCCATCTGCCCTCCACACAGGGCCCAGAGACTGGGCCCGGTCCTGCCACACCAGGCCCTCTAGAGGCATCTCCTGCACTTAGGAAGAGCCTAAAGCATCCCTGCACCGCAGAGTGGCCCTCCCTCCGTGTTTCTGGGCCTTGAACAGCGTGCCCACCGGCGGTCGTGCACCCTCTGCCCCAGGGCTTCACCGGCCTGGCTCCTTTCACACGTGCTGACCAGGGGGCTACTTTTCTGTCCAAAGGATCGTAGTGGAGAGAGGTTGATTTCCCCCAGGAGCCCGAGCCCACCGCTGAGAAGTTTGAGTGCTGCTGACCCATTCTTTGCCTGGGAGTTCACCTTCACCTGTTGCACCGGGCTCTCCGGTGGTCCTTTTCTTTTTCTTTTCTTTTTTTTATCATCCTTGCCCGAGGACATCTTTCCATTCTTTGTTCAGGTAGAGTGGGAGGGAGAGAGAGGAAGAGAGAGAGAAACATCGACGTGAAAGGGACACATCAAGTGGCTGCCACCCGCACGACCAACCAGGGCCGGGGACAAACTGCAACCGAGGTACGTGCCCTTAGCGGGAACCGAATTCGGTCTCTGTGGACCGCAGGCCGACGCTCTAACTGCTGAGCCAAACGGGCCAGGGCTGTGGTCGTTTTCTATGAAGAACCACACTGTCATGGACACTTGTTTTTTGTTTTATTTATTTTTTTCCCTTATTGATTTTAGAGAGAGAGAAAGTGAGAAGGGGAGCGAGACAGAAACAGCGATGAGAAAGAACATCGACTGGCCGCCTCCTGCATGCCCCATACTGGGGATCAGGCCCACAACCTGGGCCTGTGTCCTGACTGGGAATCGAACTGGCCACCTCTTGGTGCTGGGTCATGCTCAACCACTGCGCCACACGGCCAGACTGTCATGGACACTTGTTATTTGACTACACAAAGTCCCTTTCCTCCTGGAGCTAATGATCTGGGCGGGGAGAAACAACACAGGGAAGAATAAATAGAGAACGGCTATTTCTGCAAAAGGGCTGGGCTGGGCTGGGCGGCGTCCCTGAATAGATGTGCGAGAAGGCTGTCCGAGGGAAGGAGGGGGGGGGGCAACCCACTCAGGTGTGCAGGCCTGAAGGCGAGCTCCAGAGTCGCAGGGGCTGGTGGAGGCAAGAGCGGTGGGGGCAGCGCAGGCCCCAGGCTGGGAGGCCGCAGAGCTCACAAGGGGGTGAGGGTGGGAGCTGTCAGAGAGCACAGTTCACCTGGATAGCTCAGGGCGGCCAGGGTGGAGGCAGGGAGGACAAGGCCACTAGAGTACTGGGGGCTCTGGCCAGGGTGGAACAGGGGGCTGACAGGAGCTGTGGGTGCGCGAGGGTGGGCGAGGTGTGACCGAAAGTGGGCTCCCAAGCAAGCATCTGGCCCCTCCCTGTCCTGAGGCGGAAGGTTTGGGTGGCAGCCAGCATTGCTAGACAAACTGTCACATTCCAAAGGGAGCCTGGAAACACTTGGTGCTGGCAGTGACCAGGCTGGACACACACCGTTCAGGCTCCCAGCTGATCCTGGGAGCTGCCTCTGCCCAACCGTCCTGGAGGTTCAGGTGGGGAATGCCTGGGGGACATGTATGGAGAGAATTACAGTAGCCGGTTTGACACCTGGTGTGCAGGAGAAAGGCGGTCAGGGACTGAGCCTCCTCGCAGGGTGTTGGTTCCACCTCCGTTTTGGGGGCTCTTCCTTTACTTCCCGTGCTGCGGAGCCCAACCGTAAAGGTTTATGGTTAACTCACACCTTCTGCTCATGTCGCAGGTTTTGCAGGCTCCAGGGCCACACCCAGCACAGCTTTCTGTGAAATGCAGACCTCACACCCCTCCCACATGTCACCTCTGTCCCCTTTGCAGCCCGGCAGGCACAGTTCTTCCTGAAGATAACGACAGGTAAGAGTAAACAGTAAACAGTAAGGGCCCTGGCCGGTGTGGCTCAGCAGTTAGAGCTCCGGCCTGCGGACCAGAGTCCCAGGTTTGGTTCCTGCTAGGGGCACGTACCTCGGTTGCAGTTTGTCCTGGCCCTGGTTGGGTCGCGTGGGTGGCAGCCAGTCGATGTGTCTCTCTCACATCAATGTTTTTCTCTCACCTCCTCCCGCTGTATCTGAAGACAAATGCAAAAAAACATCTCCTCGGGTGAGGATTAAAAAAAAGGTAAACAGTAAGGAATCAACTCTGGACACAATTCACGTGAACCCATGCAGGGGGCACCCGCCTTTCAAGCCGAGACAATCAAGGACAGAACTGTGTACAACTGCCCGACCAGTGTGGCTCAGCTGGTTGGTCATCATCCTGTGCACCAAGAGGTCCCAATTCTATTCCCAGTCAGGGCACAAGCCCGGGTTTCAGCTCAATCCCCGGTAGGGGGCGTGCAGGAGGCAGCGGATCGATGTTTCTCTCTCATTGTTTCCATCTCTCTCTCTCCCTCTCCCTTCCTCTCTCTCTAAAAAAATAAATAAAACATAACTTGAAAAAAAAGAACGTACAACTTCCCGGGATGAAGTGCAACGCGGGTGCTGCAGGTGGGACCCCTGAAGGTCTGCAGCAGCTCGTGCTGAGCGCTGGTGAGTTGCTGCCTGCCTTCCGAGCGCTACTCGACATGTCTGTCTCGTTCCAAGAATACGACTGCAGTGGGAGACTGAAGACACGTGACTCCACGAACCTGTGGCTACCCGAGGACCTGCACCGTCCCTCACACTGCCTCCCTCCAGGCCCTCCCGCCCGGCAGGGGCATCCTCGCTGGCTCCCTTCACTTTCAAAAGCCAGTTGGGAAAACACGGTCAGGTGCCGTGGTCTGTGGGACAGAAAACCTGGCTTGCCTGAGCAAAGCCCGCCGATGTGTCTGTGGAGTGAGGCGTCACAGCCAGGCAGAGAACACTGTCACCTCTCGCTGGTGACTCGGCTCGCACACTCCCCCCCGGACCCCGGGGTACCCTGCACCTGGCAGCCATGGCAGGCCAGTGCACAGTGGCATCCTCGATGTCTTGCTGCGATGCGAGCTGTCCGTCCCCCACCCCGCAGCAGGGAGCCTGCACTCGGGGTCCACAGCTGGCAGGGGGCTCCGGCATGACCTGCCCCACACACTGCAGGCCTCAGCAAGGTCCACGCGGACAGGATGCACTCGTCCCCAGTTGGGAGCTCTTTGCTTGTCCTTCGGTTAGAGCTGGGTACAAACGAGCCTGGCAGACCTTCTTCCGAACCTGGTCAGACTGGGCCTGTGAGCCTGGCTGTCCGAACCCAGCAGGCAAAGTCACCCCCAGTGAACGTGTGCCTTTTCCAGAGCCTGGGAACCTTCATTCAAATGGCAAAACAAGTGAGTTCTCATTTGCGTTGCAATAACCCCTGTGCTTTGGAAAGGTTCCAGACTGGGGGTGGGTGGGGGGGATTCCTCGCACGACTTCTTGCCAGGGACACGGAGAACCACAACATTCTCCAACTCTACTTGTTTCAAGGCACCTCCCACAAGGAAGCGTGGAAGGAAGAACTAAACCACCTCCGGAAAGCACACCTTCATGAACACAACAGTGAGATCCCAGGAGACACAGCAGAAAGTCGCATGATGGACCCTTCCTCGTCATCACTCCAGATGGTCTAGCTGGGCGTGGAGACCACCAGAGGTGGCCAGCAGCAGTGACGGCACACTCTGGGACACGCTCCTGAAGGACGTCCCGTTCTGGGAGGTCATGGGAATAGACCTCTTAAAGGTGGAGAAAGCAAGACCACCTGAGTACGGAGTCTCCCCGCTGTCTGGCCCATGCGGGTCGGCAGCACTGGCCGATTAAGCTCCGTGCTTGATGAAATGGCAGCCTGCTGTCTTACGGCCACTCAATGGGATGTCATGCTCGTGACAACCCCACTCGGCCCAGGACGTCTCTGGGCGACTCCTGCGTTCAGGACTCCCAGCACCACCCACCTCAGACCCTCACACACGAAGTCCGTGCCAGATTCGCTTGTGCAGTCATCATGCAGGTGAACCGCCCACACACGCTGAGGAAAGGTGCTTAGGAACATGCGGAGTCACTGGTGCGTCTCTGGAAATGTGGCCTCATCTCCACCTCTCTCCTAACACCTGTCCTCTGGCTCTTGCTGCACTGATGTGTCAATGGCCTGAACGTGCAAGTCTGCCCCTCCAGCCTCAGAGGAAATGACCCTAAGGTCACATCTGAGCGGAAACCGTCACAGGTGGCATGAGGGCTGGGCAGAGGCTAGGACATCCACAGCCTACACGTCTGACCTCTGCATCTGTAAAGGACAGAATCCCCATCCACACTGCCCACTGCTCTACCCACTGGGGACCTTGGCCTCCCAGGGTGGCTGTTTGCTCCGAGTCGCAGTCACTCAGGTGTCACCAAGTGCACCGGCCGCCACTTCCGGGCTCCCCACCCCGGGCAGCAGGCAAACGTGAGCACAGATCAGGATGCTGGGTAAGGTGAGACCCTGAGGCGGAAGCGCACCCCCCGCCGAGGCCTCCACCACATCAGGGCACGGCACCCCAGCACAGCCCCGGACACGTGGTCCTCCAGCTGCGGGACCCAACGGTGGCACTGCCATCACCATGGGGACCTAAGCCCCGAAAACAAAAGGTTTGTTTGAGATGACAATTGAAACTTTTTAGAGGCCATTTCGATCATTCTTGAAATCAAAGTGAAACCTTTATTTTCAAAAGAACTGCCCAGAGAGAGGGCTCGCCGATTCACCAGGAAGGTCTCTGACCACACACAGCACCAAAATATATATTTGAAAAATTAAAAACACAGCCCACCACTCACACACGTCCCCCAAAGCCACACAGCTCAGACCGAAGGAAAACAAACCGAAGTCGATGCCCTCACACAAGAAGTCTCTGAGTTAGGATTTACAAATTTATAGTCTTTGCTATGAAAAACGAGCGGAAACCGGGGAAGGGCAGCCTGCACGCGGAGACGGGAGAAGGAAGGACGCGTGCCGTCTGCCCACAAGCTCTCAGCAAGCGGGACAATGACCAGTGCTTCTCGTAGACTGGGGGGCCGGGAGGGTCACTGGTGCCCCTCACAGGACAGCGCAGAGGCCAGGGAGCCCTTCAGGAGCAGGACACTGTGAGTGCCAGGCGCCACCACCACCTTCAGGACGCGCCGCGTGCGGCCAGCACCAGGCTTCCGGACAAGGTCTTTCACCGCAGGCTGTCCAGCACTTACAAGGGCCATTTTCCCTTTAAAAGAGGTGCCAGGTCCAAAAAAAAGTAAAGGGGGAAAAAGAGTCTCTACTGTAGTAAAAATTTCCCAGTCACAGCCGGACATTCCGGCGAGCCCTGTGCAGTGACATGCAGGGTCCCCGCACAGGTCTACTTGGGCTCCTCGATGACACCTTTGCTGAGGTCTGTCATTTTGGGGTACTTTACTTTCTTCTGGTCCAGCTCATTCTGAGCCCAAAGGAGTAGTTTCAGTAATTTTGCCAGCTTGGGTGTTGACTCACGATTCTCGTAATCTAGGACAGCCTGGTTCACTTCGCTCCATACCTAGAAGAACACACACCCAGTCAGGACAGCCCACAGGGGAGGGGAGGGGCGGGGCGCGGCAGGGCGGGGCTGTTGTGACTGCGCATCTCATCCTCCCAGAGCCCACCTGTGACACGTGAGGCCCCCACGGGATGCACACACACCTCTGCCACAGGGAGCGCAAAGTCTGGTTGGCAAATGGCACACCTGGCCGGGATGGCAGGTCAGTGCCATGAGCCAGGCTGGAGGGGACTACGAGAGAGGAAGGGGGAAGGCAAGCTCCATCCACGAAGCCTGAGGGGAACCTGCCATGGCCTGAAGGGCTGTGGAGGGACCGGAGGACAGGCTGCTTTGCCTGGGGAAGGGACCAGCGTCACGTTGGCTGGACCGCAGAACCAGCAGTGAGGACAGGAAGCTTCGGAACCAAGTCTGGTTCTGAATAAAAACCACTGAGGACACCTATTTCTCAGAGGTTCCAAGTACACAGGACTAAGGTTAAGAGAAATGAGAAAAACTGACAGAGGCTTGGGTACAGCTCACCCTTGACCACCCCCATACGTGGTTTTCACCTCCACCTTGGGATCTGTGGGTGTGGGGGCGGCTGCGTGCACCATCGCACCCCTTTACCTGGGGGACCTGAGGCTCTGTGGATTCTGGTTCCCACCGTGGGGGTCCTGAAGTGGGTACCAAGGATGGCTGTGCGGTAGTTAGGTTCTCGGGGAGTCAGCCATACATGGTGCCCAGACACTCCAAGTGGTAAAAGGGCCGCTGTACTGTTAGATGAAGCCGCAGGACCCGGAGCCCAGGCCCACACGATGGCGGGCGAGACAGCAGGAAGAGCTGGTGCTGCACACCAGGGTCTCATGCCGGACGCAGTCCACATTACGCTGCAGAGCCACCCCAGGCTGGTTCCTTACCTTCTGCCTCTGCATCATATTCAGAAGGTCTCCAAAGGGCGAGTCCTCGGGGTTGTCGAAGGCCAGCAGGGCCAGTGTGCGCTCCAACTCCGTCAGGCACTCCCTGCTCTCCTCCCCCTGCTCCGCCAGCTGCGTCTGCGCAAACTCCAGCGCCGCCTCCGTCTCCCGCTGGCGGATCAGCTCGATCAGGTGCTGTTGCTAGTCAGGGGCCAAGCGCACAGGCTGACACACGACCGGCCAGTGCCCCGGCGGCTGTGCTGCTCTCCAGTCAAAGGAGAGCCTACAGGATGCTTTTCGAGCATCTCTGAGTTACTCAATTTGCATTTTTAAAGCAAGAAATGACTTCTGAAATATAAGACACCAGCTAACTCAAATCCCTTCCCCACATAAATTACACGACGTCCCATCAACAGATTCAAAGGCCCTTCTGAACCACCCCGCCACCTAGTAAGGCCCCGGGGCAGATGCTCTCCCCTGAAACTCACCTGGAGGTGGAAGTACAGGTAGCGGTTGGTGTCCAGCAGCTCCGGGTGCAGGCTGTTGATCAAGGCGATCGCCTCCTGAATCTGCCCCTTCAGGATCATCTCACGGATTTTGATCCGCTCGTCGAGGGTTTCTAGGTCCACACTCGGCTCGATCCCAGACTCCATTCGAAACTTCTCTGCGGCTTCCTTAAAGCCCTCTGGAGAGGAGAACTGGCCTCACTGCTCGGAAAGTCAGCAGGACATGGACACAAAGCCCCAGCGCTCTAAGCCGTGTGCCTTAGTGATCCCATGTGAACCGACTTCCTTAGGGGCTGGGCATTAATCTTTGTGAATTCCTAGTCATGCCCTTGCAGTGCCGCAAATGAAGCCCGCAGGTTGGGTGGGCTCCACGAGGAGGCTGCAACCCCAGGTCTGGCTGCAGGGCAGCTGGAGGTCTGGGCCAGGTGAGGCACCACTCACAGCCTTAAGGACCTGGCCACACCCTCATCTCCGTGAGTCCACACACAGCCTGTTTGCCCTTCTACACACACACACACAGCCACAGGCTCACATTTCCTCCTACCTATTGAAAGAATCTCAACAGAGCCTCGTGGGGAGGGGGTACTCAGAACTAACATGAAGGGGACATAACTTTGGAACCCTCTGGGCTTCCTACCATGTGCAGAATCCCCTTTTCCTCTCCACTGTCACAGAGGACGGAGTCAGCTACAGACCACTTGTTTCCCTGTATGCTCTGCACTCGCCCTCCCGCTGTGAGCTCAGCACCTTCTAGAAAAAGTCCAGTGTGATTTACCAAACTGGCCAGGTCACCAACTCAGGGTTTAAGTGCATTTCAGAACATTCCTAATGATCCTAATTAATTGCAGAAATATCAAAAGCCAAGAAACCAATTTTTGCCTTAGGTAGGTCTCAGGGACGGGAACAATGACCTCGTCTCCAGGAGAGAACATCTTTGCCGTGGTGACCCACAGGTTTGGTAGGCTGGTGCTGCATTTACAATGCCAGGATAAATCGCCTGCACAGGGAAGCTCAGCGGTGAACTCTGAGTGTATTCACAGAAAGGGAGCACCTCTCGCATCCTGACTGCAGGCTGTTACCTGTGACCAGGTAGTTCATGATGAGGCGATTCATGTCTGCTCGCTGCACATGTAAGTTATTGAGTTTTTCCATCCACTCATCTTTCGTGATTTCATCGGGTTTTTCTGTGTAACTCATTCTGATTTTATTTCTACAAGACAAAAAATATTTTAGAGATTGGTGAAGGATTCTCTAACAATTGTGATCATTTCAGAAGTAAACACAGTGATGTGGTAAAAAGTAACGGAGAGTGGGAAGATACTTCAAATCTGGAGAACAGCATGTGCAAAAGGCATGTGACCCGAGTGAAGGGTTAGGGACCAGGCAGAAGACTTGGTGTTAGAAGGTAGGATGAATGCAAGAAAGAGCCAGGGGTCAAAGAAATAAGAGGTCAAGAGGTCATCTGAGGTCAGCAAGGCTGAGGATGGAGTTTAGATAGAATTACATGCTGTGACATTCGTGTTGAAAAGAAGCTTGCGATCAGCCACCAGACCAACAGAGACTGAGAAGTGACATCACCAGTGTCACAAAGACCCGAGAGGTCATGAGCTCTCACTGCCCGCAGAGCAGGCTGCACTGTGAAACACTCGGACCCCAGTGAGGCCGACCTCACAGGCACAGCCCCGCAACTCCACTCCCACCAGACCAGACCTCGGAAACGCACCACGTCACCAGACAAGCCTGTTCCCAGAAACGCTGTTCAGGACAACAGGAACACGGAAGCCACCCATCAGACGTCCACCCAGCAGCAGCGAGGACCAGGCCCACAGCCCTAAGCCCCAGACCCTTGGGCGGGTGTGTGTCAGGATCCAGAACCTTCCAGACCACACAAAGCCTAACACTGTGTGACCTGGCGTCCTCACGGGCCCGGGGCAGCACCCCACAATCAAACACTAATTCTTCTGTGAAATGGGTGAGACCATTCAACAGCCTCTGCCAGGTCAGGTTTCACCATCAAATAGGTTAAAAACAAAAACACTTGGTTTTCAGGGCTATTTGGATTTAGGTTGCTCAAACGGGACTGTGACCCGGTGTTCACATGGCAGAATTCACTGAAGCAGCTGAAATAAATGAGGACAGCCCTGTGGCCGCCTCTCAGGAACCAGCTGATGAACACGGGCTGCAGCAGAGGCCCACATGTGGCAGACAGTTTAGCAAAGAACAAAAACCAGTCCTGGCCGGTTTGGCTCAGCGGTTAGCGCGTCAGCCCGCAAACCAATGAGTCGCAGGTTCAATTCCGGTCAAGGGGACATACTTTGGTTGTAGTTCGTCCCTGGCCCTGGTGGGGTCATTTGGGAAGCAACCAGTGGAAGTGGCTCTATCACATCGACGTGTGTCTCTCTCTTTTTCTCCCTCTCACTCTATCTGATAATAAGTAGAAAAATATCCTCGGGTGAGGAATAAAAAAAGAAAGAAAGAAAACCAGGCAGACTACAAAATGTATTGCTTTAGCAGTAAGCACAGGTGAAACAGGAAACTGAGGAGGTGCTACCAAGGAAGGAGGGGCAGACAGGGGGCGACCCTGGGAGCACCCTGGGCTTCTGAGATGGGGCAAGCCCACCACCGACCACTTTGTTTTTACCCTTTGTCACTGACATATATGTAAGGGACACTACTTTACATATAACAAAGCACTCGTTCAATGCTTCAATACATTTTAAATAAAATTAAAAGACAGCAGCGAATGTGGGGTGGCGAGAGTTGAGCAGGAAGGCCAGTAAGGAGCCACCCAAACAAGAGGGACAGAGCGCGGACAGCTGGGGACACCATGGGCCTTGCTGCTGGACGGAAGGTGGAGGGATAAGGGGACAACTGGAGGGTTCAAGCGAGCCCTGGAAGGACGGGGCCCCAGACGAGGAGGCAGGACTGGGACAGGAACAGGTTTGGGGAGCAGGGCCAGTCTGGGCTGCCCGTCCGACTTGCAGTGGGGAGCTCCAGCAGGCCCCTGGATGACAGGTCCCAGCTCGGCGCTGGGAACACTAATTAGGGGAACATCCGCCAGAAAACGTGGACGGCCGACAGTCTGGCGCAGGTCACGCAGGGAGGCAGTGTGGGGAGAAACGCCAAGGGACGCAAGACAAAGTCCCGGCCCGTGGGAGACACCGACACCCAGCGGGCCGCCGAGACAAAACCGAGAGACGCTGCTCCTCGCACACACCCGTCCCTCCTGGCCGCTGCCCACCGCGTAACTGCGACCGCACAGGTCCCCGGACGGGACAGAAAGGCAGCTGCGCCGACCGCCACCGGCAGCCGCAGCGGCTGCACCCGGCAGTCAGCGCTCAGCGCCGCGCAGACCGGACCGGGGCACCCGCGTCCCCGGCGGCGGGGGCCGTCCCGCCAGGTCGGGGTCTGCAGGAAGCAGGTGCTGAGAGAAGCGAGCTCTCGGCAGACACGCGAGCCGCCTGTCCGGGCCCGGTTCCGGACGCCGGGCCGCCTCCGGCCGTGTCCTCCCGGGAGGGATGACGGCGCCCGGGCAGCTTCGGCCGGAGCAACGGGCAGCTCCACTTGCAAACTCAGGGGCGCCGCCGCCGCTGAGGACGAGCCCCGGCCTGACACCTGCTGGGACCGGCGACACCCTAAGACCCCGCGCGGGCCCGACCCCATCCCCGCCCCGCCGAGCTCCCGCTCCCGCTCCCGCGGGGACGCTCGGCCCGACCGCCTGGGCCCGCCGCGGCCATCTTACCGTGCGATCCCGCCTCCCGCGCTGCGCAGTCTCCGCGGCCGCTCGGAGGGCCGGGCCGGGCCGGGCGGCGAGGGGGCGGCGGCGCCGGGCAGGGGGAGGCGGAGGCGGGGGCCGCGACGGAGGCGGGGGCGGGGAACGGGAGGGCAGACGCACCGGCGGCCGCCCACTCAGCCTCTTCCCGCGAGATCGCGAGCCCGGGAGCCGGCAGCCAATCCAGGCCGGCTGCGGCGGGGCGGGGCGCGGCGGCCGCCCGGAAGCGCCGAACTACAACTTCCGTCCTTGCGCGCGACGCTCTTGGCGGCGCCCTCGCTCTACGGGTTGGCGCGAGAGTCAAAAGGCGTCGTCAGGCTCCGGGCAAGATGGCCGCAGTGGAGGCGTCGCGGCGGGGGAACTTCGCGCGGGGAATGCGGCAGCTGGACTGAGCCCGAGGCGAAGGTCCCAGGGGCCCTTCCGTCGTGCGTGTGAGCCCGGAGGGCACGGGGCGGGGGCGGGGAACAGGCGCCGGGGCTCCGCGCCGCCCGGGGCCGGGCTTCCTCCCAGGCCCGGGCGGAGCCGCCCCAGCGCGGCCGGCGGGAGCTCCCCGTTCCGTGGGGGGGGCGGCTCGGGTTCCCGCCGTGTCGGCGAGCGCGCACTAGCTCGCTCCCGACGTCAGCTCCGCCGAGCCCGGGCCGGGGCGGGCGCTGCGGGGCCCGAGCGGCGCGGTCTCCTCGGCCGGGGTCGCCCGTCGCAGGGCGTCTGCTCGAGGACCCGGCGGGCCCGAGCGCGGCCCGGTTCCGCGTCGCCGCAGAGGGCGGTGGAGGGAAGCCGACGCCCCTGGAGTTTGCAGGCAGGGGCTCCACGGCCTCGTGGGGTTGCTCCAAGGTGAGCTGGACGCAAGAGCGGTGTCGGACTCCTGGCGGCAAGAAAGTCCGACCCGGCAGATGGGCTCGACGAGGACGACGGGTCCCATTGGTCGAGTGAGCGAGTGTGCGGGTCCCAGGTTTTGACACGAATCCGTTTGAAACGCAGATGCAGTCACCCCTTCGTCCTTAATCCTTTGCAACCGCTTAACCTTATAAACAGTTTTAGGGGTCGACGTGGTGGTGCGTGGCGGGGGCGCAGGATGGTAAAACTGTTTTCAGGCGGACACAGGCAAAAAGCTCGAAGGCCGGTGCCCGAAGGACACAGCGTATTCCGGTCCAAAGAGGCTTCAGCTGGGGTCATGGGCGAACCGCCTGTCCCCGCAGCAGCGAACTGGTCGCTGAGCCCGCAGGTTCTGTCCGCAGACTGGTTGCTCTTCTTTGGTCCCAGCGTTTGTGCTCCTGGGTCGCCCTGAGGGGTCCTGCCAGCTCGTGTTAGAAGCCCACGCAGCAGGCCGGCTGGTCTCTCCTTCCCTCGTCCTCTTCTCACCCTTTGGAGACTCCACAACGGCCTCTGCAGAGCGAGCAGAGCTGAACGCCTCACCACTCCTGCCCTTTCTCTCCACTCCGGCCATCCCGGCCTGTGGGAGGCTCCCTGGCGCTCAGGCGCTGGGCCTTTATGTAGCGAGCTCCGGGGGGCGGGAGGGGGCCCACCCCTCTGAACAAAGCTGGACGCAGTGTCTCCTTTATGCTCACGTGGTGCCCTAAAGTATCCCTTGGTTGGCTCTAGCACACTGTTGTCACTGTCACCCGATAGCACTCTCTAGAGCTAAAGCGTCCATTTCGTGGTGGGAGTTCCATAGCAGCTTGCTGGGCATGGGAAGGAATGAGTGACGCCGAGGACCTTAACTAGAAGCGCTCTCAGCAGAAAGGGACAACGGGAGGCCTCCACCGAGGAGGGAGATGAGCAGTTCTTGGTGATTGACAGTTTGTAGGGCTCTGGAGAGAAAGTCAAGAATGACACCGAGGTGTGTAGCCTGCCTGGTTGCTGGTGTCGGTGGTGGCGGCACCAACTGAACAAGAACCATCGTAATGAGCAAGAGAGGGGACGCAGTAGGTGTGGGCCTCATTGACTTTGAGTTGCTTAACGCTATGGAGAAAGATGGGGACTGAGAGTTGACTTTCAGAGAAAGTCCATAGAGAGGGGGAGAGGGTGAAGTCCAGAATCCAGGAGGACAGCAACATGTAGCTGTTAGCCAAGGCTGCCCAACGGGTGAACAGAGAAGGAACAGCCAGAGAGGTTTGACAAGTCCAGTGGTGGAGGGTAGCAGCTCTGCTGGAGCCTTGGGGCATAGAGTTTCTAGAAGGTGTGATTAACCATGTCAAGTGCAGCAGGGCAGTCCAGTGTGAAATTCACCTAGAACTACCCACTGGGCAGTTACTGGTGACGGAGCTTGTCCAGTGACACAGTGGGAGTGGAAAACCGTAGGCTGCATTGAGCTGAGGGGAGTGGGGTGAGGTGGAGACAGCTAACGCGTGCAGCAGCAGTGCAAGCTATGCGACAGGTGTGTGTCCAGTGGGGTGGGTGAGTGGTGTTAGGGAAGAGGACAGAGGTAAAGGTAAGCACAGCCAGGTGTGCCTGAGGTCCCCTGTGGAGAGTGCATGGAGTGAAGTACAGGCCTGGCCAGAGCCCTGAGGACACCAGCATGTAGCAGAGTGTGGGGACCAGCAAGGAGGTGGGTGGGTGTAGGGTCACACTGGTCACCATCTGGGGTAGTGACCAGGTGACCCAGATTTCAGCTTTGTGGGCTCACTAACTGCTGAGCTTCTTGATAAGAAAGAGGTGGGCTGTGGAAGGAGAACAGCCAGGTGCCCTCCGAGTCTAGGCGGAGTCTCCGTTGGACAGGAGGAAAGTATTTTGAGAATAAAATGCACAGTGCTTCCTTTCTCAAGTCCTAGGCAGTTTTGAACAGCTAGGACATCAGCCAGGTTTTACAGATGTTTTTGTATTACTCTCAAAACCCAAAAGCATAACTCGAATCCCTACATGCTGGCTGGCGCCCCTTATCAAAGAGACTTGACAAAGACAAAACCTGGTTCTTCAGATCAGGTGTAAACGGAAACTGTGGGTTGCTGCTGCTCCGCATAGTGACCACCAGTCGGCAGCAAACACCCAGAAGTCAGTTTCCATGGCCTTGGCTGCCACAGGCTGAGGGGAGTGAAGGAGCGTTTTATTACTAGGTGGTTCTGCACGTGCTTAGTTGCCATGTGGCTTAGCTGAACCAGGACCCTGGGAGGCATGTTGAATGGGGGGAGGGATTGTTTGATCTGATCACCCTTCCTCTGTAAATTCACCTGATGGGTGGTGCCGCTAAGTCCAAAGGCACTTGCTTTGTCATAAGTTTCTTTGTGGGGTAAAAACAACTAATATTTTAACGTTTAACTCCTGCTGAGGTTGTAACATAAACTGTGTCCAGCATAGTGCCACCTGAAACAAATGGGGTGGCCTGGGGTGGTCAGGCAGGTTTGCTGCAGACCTGCATGGCACTTGAGTTGACTGTGTCCTTCAGACCTGGCTGGTCCAGGGTTCGAGATACACAGAGTGGTTTGGGAGTTATCCTCTTTTTCTACTTGAGTTTTATACACACACACGCATACATACACATAAGTATATCGCACATAACATATATGTTCATGGGCACATCTGTATGTGCTTTGAGGGTTTGTTTTGTTTTGGTTTGGTTTTGTTTGCATGACCTAGATGTTGTAATTGGATGTCTGGTCAGAGATAGAAATGCTGAATGAAGATGAGACATTTTTCTTTTCTTTTTTTTTGTTAACCCTCATGGGAGGACTTTTATCCCCATTGATTTAGGGGGGCGTTAATCCTCATTTTCATCTGAGGGTGTTTTTCCATTGATTTTTAGAGAGAGTGGAAGGGAGGAAACGGGGAGAGAAAGAGAAATACTGATTGGGCTGGGGATCAAACCTGCAGCCCAGGTACGTGCCCTTGACGGTGAATCCAACCCAGGACTCTCCCGTGCAAGGGCTGATGCTCTAACCACTGAGCCATGCCGGCCAGGGCAAAATGAGATATTTTTCAGTTAATGTTCATGTTTTTCTCTTTCAAAACACTTGCAAAATTTTGTTTTTTGTTTTTGTTTCTTGACTTTAAACTGCTCTTGCCATTGTGCTTTAACTGCTTGCTGAGTGCCGGAGTAAGGAACTGTGTTTGACGACGGTCCCAGGATTCCTCGGTGCCACCAGTCATGCAGCGGCTGGCCTCCCTCCGCACGGACAGAGCTGGCACTGTTCCTCCTGGGCCGTCTATATTTTGGAAGCAGTTGGTTCATTTGGAACTCAGAAATATCTCGCTGTGAAAGGGTGACTTACGGGTGTTGATTTTGTTACAATGCAAGAGAAGGACCTTTTGGGCACCCTTTTGAAATCCTTTAGCTCGTCTCTGCTGTTCTTGGTGTTTCCACCAGATACATCTTCCTCCTCCTCACCAATCTGTCCCAGTGAGCGGCTAGAGCAGGGACGAATTCACACAGCATTTCTACTTGGGCCAATCCGTGAGGCCACTGTTAGACCTGCCTTTAGATCATCTCACTTTGACACACTTTCATTGTGGGAGGCAGGGGCAGCCCCGAGGCACTGCTGCGCTCGCACTGTCTCCGTTGGCACCCATGCCTGGCCCTGGTTTTCCTGGCTTTTTTATTTGCTGTTCCTCTGGCCAATGGTTCTCAACCTTCTTAATGCCGACCCTTTTAATACAGTTCTTCATGTGGTGACCCCCAACCACAAAATTATTTTCACTGCTACTTCGTAACTGTAATTTTGCTACTGTTATGAATCACCATTGGAAATATGTGTTTTCCGATGGTCTTAGGCGACCCCCCCCCCCAAGGGGTCGCGACCCACAGGTTGAGAACCACTGCTCTAGAGCCTGTCGAACTAAAACCAGCCAGATAGGGATGCAGTTTCCATTGCCTTGTACTTACTAAAATGCCGGTTTCTCCTGAAGTTGACTATGTACTTTCACTGAACTCAGGGAAACAGACATCTCAGTCACAGGACCCGTCCGAAAGGCAGTGACCAGCACTGCTCTGTGCACGCGAGCTCCTGTCGGCTCAGGAGCAGAGCTAGGACTGGACTGTGCAGGGAGGCAGAGCACGCGCTTCGGCTCTGTCTGAGCTCCCCGTGCAGTGCGCTGGCTCCAGGGCAGTCTTTGCACCTTGTTTAGATGCTGGACCCACGCAGGGGCCGCGTCCTGTTGCTTTTGTGATTAAGTCAGTCATCCCAGTGTCTCCAGGGTGGTTCAGGTGACACCACCCTGATGGATGCAGCTAGTCAGTGCAGAAAAGTTCTGGGTGTGAACACGGTGCTCCCCTCCTCCCGCCCTCCTTCCCTTTCCTCGTCTTTTAGGGTTGTTTCTTCTTTGGCCTGAAAGACAGAACATGTAGCTCTGTCACACCCCCAGCTCACTCTCTGTAGGCCATCAGTGTTGGACACACAGTTTGACTCCCGCCTTTTCCTTGCATTACTTGTTTTTCCTGACTTACTCGCCACCCTGGGCTCTTGAGCACTCTGCTTCTGAGACCACTGGTGGCCTGGGGACAGCACCCAGCACCCGCCCTGCCTAGTGTGGGGCTGTAGCGGTGGGACTCACCCTGCTGTGGACAGAGGTCTGGGCAGCAGAGGCAGCCACAGCCCCGAGCTTCGCACCCTTTCACTCTTGACTGAAACCTTACAGCAGTGAAACAAAAACTTAACTTCTGCAGCTGGAAGCCTTTTATAAACCAAAGGGCTTATCAGGCTATTGGTAGCGAAAGAAAGACGACCAGTCTTGGGACCTGGAGTCTAAACCACCCGCAGCCTGGCGTAGAGGAAGACAGCAGGCCCGCGGGTCCAGAGGCTTTGCTAGCATCTGTACACGTTAGGTGGGGTAGAGAGACGTGAGCCTCTGAAGGGTGTGCGTCAGCTTCCAACCGGGGTGGCTCTGGGCGGTCCTGGAACTGGGGGCTGCCGTCAGGAAATCCAGGTGCGAACCCAGTGCACGCTCCTGAGGCGGGTGGAGGCGGCTCTCCTGTCTGGTAATTGTGGAAGTAGCCACCTGGAAATAAGTTCTACGTCCTGACAGGACTGTAAGGAGACTTTTGTCCGAGCAGTTCCACAGCTATAAGTTCGCTGGTTTCATACAATGTAAAATTGGGGAAAATCAATTTGCTTGTTTTTAAATACAGTGGTTGAAACTCGTTAGCTATACAAAAATGACTAGATTTATCTCTCCCTAGAAACTTATATTCTTTTTTTATTTACGTTTTTGGTGGTACGTACCCCTAGCAGGAACCGAAGCCGGGACTCTCGTCCGCAGGCCGACGCTCAGCTGCTGAGCCAAACTGGCCAGGGCTAGAAATTTATATTCTAGCCCAATGGTTCTCAACCTTCCTAATGCCATGACCCTTTAATACAGTTCCTCATGTTGTATGTGGGCAGATCTGCATGTGGGCGGACCCACTTGGAGACGGATAGAGGAGTGGTGTCTCCGTTCCTAAGACCATCGGAAATAGGTGTTTTCCGATGGTCTTAGGCGACCCCTGTGAAAGGGTCATTTGACCCCCAAAGGCGTCGCCACCCACAGGTTGAGAACCACTGTTCTAGCCCCAGGGAATGGTGGGATGTGTCTTATAATAACCTTTTCATTCATGTATTTAATCCCACCAATGGTTAAGAGCACAGCCTTTGGGTATCAGGCACCCTGGAGCCCTGGAATAGGCTTGGTAGCAAAAGAGGGAGATGTCTGTGATGGAAAGGGGTGGGCCAGCCTGTGCCCTTCCCGCAGCCCGGAGGACTGGGAACAGGCACTGCTCGCTGTCGCCCAGGCCTCGGGCCAGGTGAGTGAGGTCTGAGCCTGCAGCCCATGACCCCTGCTTCAAAGGGCACTGGCGGCCGAGGCCATTCTGGAAAAATGCTGAAGGTTTTCCCAAAATGCTGAGGGAGGTCAGGGAGGCAGAGGGAAGAGTTCCGACCTGGGCCTTTCCCACCCCCTCCACCTGGGCCCAGCCTCGGGGAGATTGCTGGCCTGCTCATCTCTGAATTACAAATGAGAGTAACAATAAAGCTACTTGTTGCTGCCTGGCTTGGTTTTAAATTGTCCTTGAAAAGGGGTGGAACTCAGAGGGAGGGTCCAGACTGGAGCCCCTGGCCTCTCAAGGTTGTACTTGACCTGGAGGGTGTTCTGCTTTAGAGTTTTCATTTGAGATCAGAGTATTCTGCCCAGAACCCTGCTTTCCAGCAGGCTCTACTCAGGGCAAGAAGAGGCTGGACACCAGCAAGCAGCTTTCTAACGGACTGATGAGTCCCCTTCGATATGCTTCGGGGGTCGGGGGGGACACCTGGTGTGTCTGATGCACTATCTTTCCCACTGACTTGAACCCCATTGAGGCCTGGAAGCCTGTTAAGTGTCCGTCCCCTCTGACCCTCTGGTCACTCCTGGGTGTCACCCCCCAGGACTTGGGGGTTTGGGTTTTTTGTGCATGGGAGTATTTAGGGAAGAATTTGAGACAACTAGAGACACCTTTTTTTATTTGGGTTAGTTATTAAAATAAGTTTGTTAGGAGGAAATACTCCTTAATTGGCAGATTTCAACTAAAAAATACCTTAAGTTCCAGAAATGCTTCTTTCCACCAGTGAGGAGTAGCTCCCATGAGGAATTGGAACAAGTGGGCTGTACTTACCTGAGGAGGGAGAGAGCTTGGCTCCTACCACGGGAGGGGTGCCCCTCAGCCTGCAGGACCCCAGTCAGCCAGTTCTTCTGGGAGAGATCTAAAGTGGGGGCACAGCCCCGGAGCTGTGAGGGTCATCCCACATGATCCGGCAACCAGTGGGGCTTCCTAATGCCTCCACCTTTCCCTCTGTGCCTTGTTTCCCACTCGGAGCTTCCTCAGATTCCTCCTCCTCGTCCACCATTGGCCCTGTCCTCGGTGCCTGTCACCCCACTAAGCACCGGCCTGAAACTGCACCCCAGAGTTAAAATCTCAACTTGCAGAAAGACATTGCTGCTGTTTTACTGCATTTAAGGATCAGCTAAAGAGGCTGGGCAGTAGGGTTTCCCCATTCCAACTCCCATTTTTGGGGACCCTTTGTAGGGAACGTGTCATGTGATCTTCCCCAGTGCCCCAGCATGCCAGCCCCATTTTACAGACAACTTGCCCCAAGATCAATCACCATGCAAACTCGGTCTGTCTCGTCTGTAACTTTCCCACTACCCCTATCTGGGGGCAAACCTGAAGACACAAGAAGAGCGTAGAGCCCATCCCTGCAAGATTCCTAGAAGGTGGTCCTAACGAAACTAGCTGCGCTGTCTTCCTTTGAAGAAAAGGGACAGGCCTTGCGCTCTTTCAGAGAGTCTATGAAAAGCACTCGTGGGCAGGGGCGCAGTTTCCCGGCGCTCAGCACCTTTCCACTTTTTGCCAAGGGTTCCTGATTCCAAGGAACGCGGAAGCGGGCTGTTGGGGCAAGTGATCGGGACAGAGGGCAAGGAGCTAATGTTCTCCGGGCAAATGTCCAGTGTCCAGAGTGCCCCAAGGCAGCAGGAGTTTCCCTCTGAGGTTGGCTGAGTATTTGGAGACAGGCAGATGCTGGGGCATCACTAGTCAGCACTACGTGAAGAAAATCCGCGAGGAGGATTGCGCGTCTGCCAGAGCCCTTTCCCCTTCTGCACAGTAACTTCCACCTTTGCCCCAAACCGTGTGGGCAAGAGTGCCCAGGGTGCGCGCGTGCGCGCGGGCGGGCAGCTCACTGTGCTCCTTGGCCCCGTGGGCTGCGGACTGCAGTCCAGGAGAAACTGAAAATGCAGGCTGGCCCTGCGCCTTGTTGCTTTACCCACAGGAGCCTGCCGACCGGAACCGGGCCACGGTGCGCTCCACAAGGGTGGCGGGTCCATCGGAGGCTCGCAGTCTGGGATCGCCGCTGGCTACTTCCGCCCCCAGCTTTGGCCCTTGGGCGCGGCGCGCAGAGCGCATGCGCACGGGGTGGAGCCTGGGCCGGCCCTCCTCCTATTCGCCGCACGGGGGCGCCGATCAGGGCTCAGGCATCCTCTCTAGCCCTACGGCGTCTCGTTGGCCAGCGTCCGGCCTGCGCTGGGAGCGGCGAGCGGGCCCTCTAGCCCTCGCATCTTGGTGGCCGACACCGCCCGCCCGCCTATTTCCACAGCGCTCGGAGGAAATGGCTGCGAGACCCTAGAGGCCTGGGAGCGGAGGTGAGTGGCGTTCTGGCGCCGGGCGGAGGGGCTGGCCACCCTGGTGCTGCGCTCGGGGGCAGCCAGGAGGGCAGGGGCGGCGGCGGCGGCGGCGGCGCCCGGGCCCGGCCCGCCCAGAGCGGCGGCGTCCGCGCCGGGCGGCGCTCCCGCCGGAGAGAAGATGGCGGCGCGGGGGAGGGGCGGGAGCACGCTGAGGGGGGAGCGCGGCGCTGCCCCGGGTCGCCTGCTGACACGCGCCGCGGCTGTCCCGCGGCTGCGGAGCTGGTGGGGCCGGGTCGCGGCGGTTTCGGCGGCTGGTGCCCGAGGCGTCTTCCGGGCGGGGAGGTCCGCGCGCGGGCCTGTTCCGGGCGCGTGCGGGGGCGGCCTGGCGGGCGTGGCCCCTGCGAGGCCGAGGGCGACCCGACGCCGGGCAGGCCTGGCCCCGGCTGCGGTGCGGCCTGCCCGCGGGTGTCTGGCCACGCTCGCGTCGCGGGTGCCGTCGGGCTGTCGCCACGGACGCAGGTCCGTCTGCTCTGCGCTCCGCCCGGAGTCGGCGGCCGGCCTGGGGCCTGAGCCTCGTGTGCTCGCGGCGTTCGTGGGAGCGAGGGAGGGTGTCGGGGCGTCCTCGGGGTCCGCACGGCTTGCCCTGCGCTGGGCAGCAGTGCGGCTGGTTCGGTCCCTCTGCCGCCCGGACCGCGGGGCTGGGTCCGGCAAACGTGGGTTCCGTGGTTCCCGGAGCCACGTAGGCCCCGGCGGAACGGGCTCGCGAGGAGGGCCCTCAGCTGCGCGCTTTCAGAAGCGGGGTTTCTGACCTTTACTCGTCGCATGTTCACTGCGGCCCGTGAGCCAGGCGCCAGGGCGGACGCAGTGACCCCGCCTCCTCGTGGGCTCCGGGCGCCCGGAGTCTGGAGCCGGCCCGCGCCCCGAAACGGCCCCGGGAAGCCCCGCCCCGCCCCCTGCGAAGTGTCTGCCTAGTGCGTGTCCTCCGCACCGGTTCCTGCTAACCTGCGTTCACCGGGAGTTTGGGGGCGATAGGTGTTCTTGTTACTTCTGATGCCCGAGAGCCTTTCCTTGTTACTATTTGAATTCAGGTTATTTCAAGCAAAGCGATTTCTGTTCTCATAAGGAGGGGAAAAAGGCACAAATGAAAGGTGTGTCATCGGCTGCTCCCCTCTCTTCCTTATTTGCTAGTACCCATGGTTACCAGTTTCTTTCCGGGCGAAGGGCGGCATCAGTGTGCATGCCTGCGAGCATCACGGTGGCTTGTTGCAGACACAGGTCACAGGCCGGGAGGTGGGCTTGCCCTCAGGTGGGGAGAGGGGTTTTGAGTGGCAGCGTGGTTCCCAAGTTCTGTGGTGGACGGGTTTCTGTAAGTCCGCTTCCTGCTACCACAGGGTGCCTAATTTACCAGGAGTCCCATCCCAGCATTCCAGGGACGAGTTCTTTCTAGTCGGAGTTGGCAGGATATTTCAGGTCCTTAACTTTTATACATCTGTCCCACAATACCAGGTGACTTCATCTGGCTCTTGCAGAGCAAAGATTGTGCTCACAGGCCAGCTTTCTGCTGTCTTTGGGTCCCTGCAGTGCGGCGCTGCTTCCCGGAGAGGCCTGGTTTCTCACAGGCCTGGCCGACTCAGCAAGTCCCCTGAGAAAGAGCTTTTCCTAGCAGACACACGCTTCGTTCTTCTTATTTAAATGGTGGGATCCCTCGCAGTGGAAAACTAATATTATTCTTTTTACGGCCAGCATTAAGTGACTTATGCTGATTCCATTACAAAGGTCTGAATAACAGCTAGTGGAAATGCACCTGTCAGAAAGGAGGAGGCTAGAAACCACGTGAATCAAGCTCACTTGGTCCCACTGCCCACATTGACCTGGAGAGTAGTCTCTTGCTTAGGCCTCTTTATTTTTCAGTGTAATCGGGAAGGTAAGTTGTTAGACGAAGTCGTACTTCATCAGCAGGTAGTGATGACCTTGTGTGTAAATTGTGAGGCAGTTACTTCTCTCTTTGGGCATCAAACTTAGATGCTGAGGTTTTGTTTTGTGTATGTTGATACAGACACTTAGGTGGTACTTAACATACCTTTGTAGGACAGTAAATGGGGGCTCTTTTCCAGTGTAAAGATAGCTTTACTGTGGTTTGGGTTGTAAAGATAAATACACATAAAGAAATTTAACACTACATAAAAAATTAAGAAGAAAGCAAAAACCAGAAGTGGCACCATGCCGAAGCTCACGCCACAGCTGCTCCATGTGTTGGCGAATGCGGATGTGTGCATGTGGCCAGGTATATTTAGGGAGTGTGGCCCCTGAGGGCTAACTCGTAACCTGCTCTCCTCACTCCGCATGAGGGGTCCTTTCTAGGGCAGAGGCTGGAGGCTGGTCATCTTCTCATTGAGCCTTAAAGAATCCCATTCTGTGAGTGTTTCTTGACATTTCAAACCAGTCTCCTGTTGGTGGACACCCAAAAGCTTCCCATTACCTGACAGGTCAGAATGAAGCAGCCTACTTGGCCAGTGGGTGAGGGATGTCGCCTGTGCCCAGCACTGAGGGGCTTTTGATAAGTACTTGTCAGACAGGCTCTCCTAAGAGAGCCGTTCCCCTGCGGCTCCCAACGCCCTCGCCCACCACTCGTGGCAGCTCCCCCGTTGTGAGCGCTGCCTGGTCTCCGCACGGTGAGGCTTCAAATTCCCTGTAGGAAACTGAGGTCACAATTGTCCACATTTCCCAGACAGAGAAGTGCAGCCCACAAAGAAGTGACTTGCTGTTAGGCTTGCGGCCGGAATTGAAGCCAGGGACATTCTGATGTAAAAGCCATTGAGCCCCCAGACCCCAACCTGCTTATTGGAGGACTTGGCCCACTTGTCAGTGAGGGAGGGCACTGCTGCCCACCTTGGTCAGGACTGCGGATGCTGAGTGATCCCCCTGAGATGTCCCCGTGCCCCGTGGAGAGACAGGGCTAGGTAGATGCTAGCCTTGGATTCCTTGGGTTTGTTGATTATAATTTGAAGTTTTCCCTCTAGTTTTAAGAGAATGCCAGGCAGGCATCACCACTCATGCACACTGGGATGAGTGTGAAATCGCCTTACACAGGTTCAGCTCTGCGTGGGTCCATGAAAGGTGGCACAGAAAATCCTGAAATCCTGCTATCTATTTCTTGACCGTTTTATTTAAGCTTATATCTGTCCCACTACCCCAAAACCAAAACCAGACATTGACCTCTACTAATCTGGGGAAAGAAAGGAAGATTCCAGCTGAAATACACAGTTAATTCTTAACTTGTTTCCAAGGTCCCTAAGCATTATGTCTGCCTGTAGGCCTGTGCATGAGACCCTAAGACCGGTAGGGGATGTAGCTCTGCTCAGGAGACGCAGGCCTGAGTGTAGGCTTTCGTTCCTTCAACCATGTTCTCTGACGTCGGGGCAGCAGTGTGGGCGCTGCAGTCTCCTAGCAGAAGTCAGCCCCTTTTCTGCAGTCACGGAGCTGGGGCAGGAAAGTCAGGAGCATCTAGAGAAGTCCAGCGCTGAAGCACTGCGGTCTTCCTGGCTGGAGGGTTACAAGTGCTTGTCGTCTGTCAGGCAGCAACCTTTAAGGTTCCCCCAGTGTCAGGTCTGTGTTGTCAACCATTCCCAAAGGATCTGAAGTCAGGACCTGACACCTAAAATTACTGGGACCCCCAGAGAGCTTTGTTAATTTAAGTCATATCTGTTGATATTTCGTGTGTTTGGCATTTACAATAGAGACATTTTTGTTTCTTTATTGCAAAATACAAACCCTTATGTATTAATATGAACAACATTTTACAGAAACTATTTTCCAAAACAGAACCAACTTAATGAGAAAGGTGGCATTGTTTTACCTTTTTGCAACTCTCTTTTATGTCTGCTTAACTGGCAACAGCTGAACTCTCACATCTGCTTCTAGGATACTACCATATATACTTCTGGAGTGACCCATGAAAAAAGCATCGATGTCTTAGTGTTGTGTAAATAGTTTGACCTTGGGGACCTTGAAAGGGCCTGTGGGCCACACTGAGAACCTCTACTCTAGATGATGGTTAGAAGTGCTTACTATTGAGAAGTGCAAATTTTAAGAAATAGTTGACACCAGAATGAATCACTTTTAGGAAGACAAGGCAGTGTCTTTGCATTTCTGTAAATTGGCTCAACCACATACCTTGCTTTTTGGTAAAAGGCTGGTTTGTAATCACCAGTGAAAGTGTTTCTGGGCAACAATCCCCCACCCCCACCCCCACCACCTGAAGTGAGGGGCGGGGGGAGCCAAGACTGCTTTTAGCTTTAGGGCGCTCTGCCTCACAGGTGAGGTGCCTGAATGGTAGACACTGGTTTTGTGTGTTAGGTGATACATTCCATTTGTTGTACACAGCCTCTAACCAACAGCACCTGCTGCAGTGTGAGTGCTGTGTGAGGGGCTGCGGAATAATGCGAGTCTCTCTAGATGTGGCCCCCGGAGGTGCCAGAAGGGAGTCCAGTGCAGATGTACTTGGGGCCCATACAGACGATATGGACATCAGAGCAGTAGGGTGGCCAGTTGTGGGGGTCCTGGATTCTTAACAGCTTGCAGGGCCTGGAGACTCAGGGAAAGCAGTCCCTAAAGTGCTGGGCAGGGACAGCTGGCACTTTATGTCCTATCCTGGGAAGTGATTTCTGTGCCTGGGTCTCCTCTGTGAGCCCACACCTAAAAGTGTGCACTGTGTGTGTGTCTGGGAAGGAGGGGGCTCGGTCCAGGAACCTGTCCCAGTGCTGTCCTCGGACATTTACAGAAACCGTTTTCTTGTTTGCTGAGAGGGAAGAGGCAGCTAGCTTAGGCTGCTTGGGCTGCTGTGACGACACTGCAGACTGGGGCCTGCACGCCACACAGGTTTGTTTCTCGTGGCTCTGGAGGCCCTAGATGAGAGTGTCGGGGTGGACGGGTCCTGGTGAGACCTCTTCCTGTGGCAGATGGCGATCTCGCTGTGTCCTTCACAGGGCAGTGAGCTCTCGGGGCTCCATTTACCAGGCGCTGATCCCATTCATGGGGCTCCAACCCTTGCGACCTAAGCACCTCCTGAAGACCCCGTCTCCTTGTCCCATTGCCTTGGACACGGGGTTTCCATGTGAATTTGGGGAAAGGGCACAAACATGCAGACCAAAGCAGGAGCTGTTCGAGGTAGCAGTTAGGAGACCGTCTGTCTGCGTTGTTAGAGAGCAAGGAGATCTCAGTTCTTTCCCTCAGCTCTTGTTAACCCACGTGGTGTCCTGGTTCTTGTCACGTGCATAGTTGCCCGCCAAGGTCACAAGCCTGTGCTTTGCACAGAACCGAGCAGAGAGAAGCTAGAGCGCCCACTGTTCCCAGAGCTGGCTGGCCCATCCTGCGGAGGGTTCTGAGTGACAAGGTGGCTTTTGTGTCCGCATATCTACGAAGCAAAAGTACCTGCGACAGCAGGCTTGTTTCTGGATCTGTCTGTACACCTCTGAGAAAGTGACTGGGTTGTAGACACCTGGGCTTCATCAAAATAGTTTTAATAATGATAGTGTTATTTGGTAAGTTGCAGAACTTGGAGTGAGCTCTCTGAAGAGTCAGATGTAATTTATACAGTTGAGTCTGGTGCTGGGTAGGTAGATAGATGAAAATAGGATTTCTTAGTTACTTTGTGGCCCAAACTGGTACACTAGTGTTCTGTGCACGAGGGAGTGTTTTCATCTGCAGACCTGTGGGGCTGATGAGGGCAGAGCTGCCTGGGACTCAGGGCCCACCCCAGTGCTTGGAGAAGGGCTGTCTCTCCAAACATGCTTCATGGTTGGCATTTCTGGGCATATTCTCATTTATAGTGACTCCCCCAATACTAGAAACTGAATTGTGAGAGTCTTTAATTGGGAGATCTTTGTCCTTTCTTTTTGTTTAAGGAACTTTAGCTGGTGTCTTCCCCATTCCTCCTCACTCACAGCATAGGGTCACTTAATGTAAATATAGTAACTGTGAAATTAAGTCTGGCCTATCAGAGTTAAAAATTCAGCAGAGTTCAAAACAACAAGGTTATGTTGTAGCTTTTGAATGTAATTTCTGACTAGCAGGTCAGAGTCGTTTCAAAATTTAAATGGTTAGTTTTGAATATTGTCCCCATGGGATATGAGGTTTTGGACAAACATGGTTCTGCCATGGGTGGGACAGATCCACCCTCTTTGAGAAGAAATGGTTGTCGTGTTGTGCGAATAGGACCCATGTTGTGGCCGGATAGCATATTGTAAAGGGACTTAGGGACAGGCATCTCTTAACTGTAGAACTGCACCTCTCCAAACCGGCCGCAAGCATGCTGTGTGGCTGTGGGCCCTTCAGCTCCACCATGGTCATAGTTGCACCACTGACATTTATAGTTTGTTTTACAAGTAACACGTAACATTTTGGAAAGGTACTTCTGGTTTTGTTTTTAAGAAATTTCCAGCCCTGGCCGGTTTGGCTCAGCAGTTAGAGCATCGGCCTGAAGACCAGAGTTGAGGGTTTGATTCCAGCCAAAGGCATGTACCTCGGTTGCGGTTCATCCCCGCCCTGGTTGGGGTCATGCAGGAGCAGCCAGTTGATGTGTATGTCCCCCCCTCATCTGAAGATAAATGGAAAAATATCCTCAGGTGATGATTTAAAAAAAAGAAATTTACTTCTGGCAGCTTAGCATTCTGGAGAGGTGGAGAATGAAGGGTGGAGTGAGGTTGCTGCGGAGCAGTTCTGTGGAAGGCTCGTCTCTTCTGGCACAGAAGCACCCAGGGCTGGGTCTGTGCCTGTGCGTGCGCGAATGTGGTGTGTTCTTACACTGATAGAAATGCCTTGTTACAGGGGTCTGTCCTCGGCGTGTCCCTGGATCCCGGAGGTCCCCAAACCCTTCTAGGGACTGGGAGGTCACAGTTGGCCTCATCGGCCTTCTCCGCCGAATTGACACTTGCACCCGTGGTGGTGCAGAAGCAGATTGGGTTGGTGACATCATACCCTGTGGCGTGCTCTCCACCTCTGTGCACTGGTCCCTTAAAATGTCCCAGTTTCCTTAATGTCTTTGAAGTGTGGTGAAGACTATTTTATTAAACTTCCGCCCTTAGTGTACATCTTTCTAACACTCCCTGTGATGAAGTGGCAAGCACACTCCAGCGCCTCTGCTGCACCCCTGGACCATCTGACAGGCTGCAGTTTTCAGACTGGTGTTTGGCAGGCATTTTCTTGAAGAAGTATGTGAGTCTCAAGGAAAGAACTGGCAGTATTTGTTGCTAAGGATAAAATTCCAGCTTTTATCTGCTACTGTGAACTTGATGGCTTCCCAGTAATTAAAGGCATTTGAGGAGACAGGTGCCCACATTAGCACATGTGTGTCCTTCATGTCATCTGATAGAGTGTGCTGCACTTGGGCTTAGGTGAGTTGGTGATGCACATGACAACACGGTTTCTGTTTCTGTGTTGCGACTAATGTTTATGACTCTACTACTCATCAAGGCTCAGTGTGGGGTAGCAAGAACACCCACAATTACCTGGGAAGTCTCTTGTTTTAGTTTTGGAAACATGATGTATTCCACATAAAGAAAAGCTCTTTGGGATCTTTGGTTTTTAAGAGTGTAAAGAGACCTTGGGACCAAAGAGTTGGTGAGTTGCTTTTCCAGAGCTTCGAAGGTGGTGAGTCGTGTTCCTGGATCCCTTTCAGCCATGGGGGTTGCCCCACAGGTGCACAGTCCATTGTTACAGCAGTGAGATTTTCAAACTTGAGATTTCATAGCATTATTCCTACCTCAGCTTAGCAGGGCATGGAGCGGTTTTCAGCTGAGAAAAAGTTTGCACTTAGAAATGTAGAAAGACAGTTTGAAATTCTTTCAATACATTTGAGGTGCACCTACGCTGTTCTTGGTTTTGGTTTTCTTTTCTTTTCCCACTTTTCCTGTTTCAGGGATGCCCACCTTTTTTCCCTGGGGAAAATTGTTGTGAGTGCAGGTGTGTGTCCGTTTCCTTGAAGTGTGAGGATCACACACTTAAACCCAAGTTTGTTAGGAACCTAGCATTTGATTACAGATGGTTTTTCTCTTGTCCTATGTGCATGGGTTTGTATCATGAGCTGAAATTTCATACTAGAATTTGTGTGTTCAGGAAATGATGAAACAAAATCAATTTTGCAAATATAATGAAGTCCAGATTGTCTAAAATGTGGTGTTTCCGAATGTGGGCTTTATCTAATTACGCTCATTAGAAATAACTAGATTGTTCTTTTCCAATGAATTATTCAGGACTTCAATTCAGACAGGTATTTATCTTTAGAGTAACATAAAATTTTTTTCATTCCTGAGAACAACCTTAAATTTTGTTCTTGAGATTGTGAAATATACCAGTAAGGTTTATTTCCAGTTTTTGTTTTGTTTGTCCACTGAGAAGTAACGTTTCTGAATCATAGAAGCCTCATTTTGAGATTGTTTGGGGACATGCAAGAGATTGTGATGGTGGTTGTGATGACAGATTTGACTAATGGGGTTGAAACGGTCACTGTTGCTTTAAAAGGAGGGACCTCAGAATGTTTGTCTTTGTTCTGCGGTCACTAAGGAGACCACAGTTACAGAGGCAGTTGGAGTGAGGCTAGGAAGGAAGGTGAGGTGGGTTTGCTGAGCTCCAGGCTAGGCTGTGAAATGTGTTCAAAGATCAGTACTTAGGGCCCCTTGAGCAATAAAGGCTAGAAAGGGTATAGGAGGAGAGATTTTTGTTGTTGTTAATCCTCACCCGAGGATATTTTTTCCATAGATTTTGAGAGAGAGAGGAAGGGAAGAGGGAGGCAGAAAGAGACACATCGATTGGTTGCCTGCCTCACCCTTCGGTTCTTGGGCTGAGGCTGACTGCTGAGCCAAATTACAGGACAAGGAGAGATGTTTTTAATACACATAGGTGTGTGTCCTGTACCTCGATGATGCTCAATCATAGTCTTTAAAAATCTTTCTCGGGCCCTGGCCGGTTTGTCTCAGTGGTTAGAGCGTCAGCCCTCAGACCAGTGAGTCGCAGGTTTGATTCTGGTCAAGGGCACGTACCTCGCTTGTGGTTTGTCCCCAGCCCTGGTCAGGTGGGAGGTAGCCCATTAATGTGGCTCTATCACGTTGGTGTTTCTCTCTCTCTCCCTCCCCCTCCCCCCTTCCTCTCTCCCGCTCTGTCTGATGATAAATAGAAAAATATCCTTGGGTGAGGAATGATAAAATAAAAATCTCGTATTTTTTAACTAAAAGAATGGCATAGGAGCAGCATTAAGAATTTAAAAATAATTACATATATTTAATTGTGTTTAGCCTTTTCGCATTTTGTTTCTCTGTTGGGTTTTTTTGAGCGGGGTCCATCTCAGAAATAGAATCATGATTGGGAAGCAGCTGACGCCCGATCGCTGGAACCTCCCTGTCCCATCCCTGCAGGACCTGTTCTATTATCACCAGCTTCCTTCCCACCATTGCTGGTCCCCGTGTGGTCACAGTATTTTCTCTCAAAATCCTTGAAGGAAGGGGACTGTTGTTGTTTTTTAAATTTTCTTCGTTTGCTTGTTTTTTAAATGTGGTTTTAGTAGATCTAAAAACCACTTTCTTACTTTCTTCTAGGAGCTCGCTCATGCGAGTGGTCTCACAATAATCTGCGTAGTTGGCAGCGACCTGCGACCGGCGGCAGCAGTGTTTGAGGCCCGACTGTTTGCTTGGACCAAGCGCTTACAACGCCGGGCTTTGTTTGTATTCAAGACTACGGGGAAGTGTCCAATTCCAGTGTTGGGCAGGTAATGGATCAAAAGTATTGAATGTCAACAGCAAAACCTTAAAGTTTGAAGTTTTATTTTCTGTTTTTAAAGTGTAAAGACAGTGATACAATGTAACACTCATATGTGTTTGAAACATTCTAAACTTGTGCCAAAATGTTTAGGTGGGTATGGGATGATGTGCCCTGGCTCACCGGTTAGAGAAAAAAGTTACTTTTAAAATTATTTTTTTGTACCTTTTCCAAATCTCTCTTTGTGTGCATTCAATTGAAAAAGATAACTTTTACAGGTTTTTTTGGTGCCCATATCCAGCATACAAAAAATACAAAAGACTCTTCACCAATGAAACACATTAGCTCAAACTGCAAAAAATAACAGTTTGATTCAGAGCATTTATTTATTTTCCCGTTGGTTATTTTATTAGTGCATAGACCTTGACACAGTACATTTCTTCTGTGGTGACATAGTATGTTCCCTCTGCAGAAAACGGTCTCCACTGCCCTGGGGAACGGGCTCCTTTCCCAGCCCTGCGGGAGCTTCATGAGGCCCAATCACAGACCTGAGATTGAGGGACTGCGGCTCCCTGCATGTCTTGTTGGCAGAGGCTGGTTTGGGCCCCTCTCAGCACGTCTTCAGTAGACATTGAGAATGTTGTATGCCATGAGAGCAGCCATCGGCTGTGCTGTGACCTGATTGCAAGAGTAGAACTTGTACCCTAGACGCCAGATTTCTACCCTTATGGGCAAACAGTTGTAACCAGTGGTTAGTAACACATGCATGTGGAAGGAGCACGGCCCTGGTCTCGGGATGTCAGTGCTGTTCCTCACCTTTAAGCTCACGACATGCGAGGTCGGCACTGCCTCCTGGGTGCAAGCAGTCCGTGTGACTTGCTCATGGGCACCAGCCAGAGCGCTCTGTGTTGGATGCACCATCGCGCCCAGTTCAGTTCAGCTGCGGCCAGAGAAGTGATATGCTTCTTCATGGCACACGTGTTAATGTCCCAGCTATTCCAGCAAGTGTCTGAGTAGTTGGGAGTGTGAGGCGAAGTTCCACAGTGAAGGATGTGCAGAGCTGGACAGGAAGTAAGTGGGGTGACATCACTTACTGGGAAGCAAAAAGGAGGCAGGTTGTGTGTGGTTCTGAATTTTGTGTATTTTTGTTTTGAAGGTCTCCGTTCTGTGCCTCTGATGTTCCTCTAGGATGGGACCTGGTGTAAAGTCCAAGTCATCACTGGTGTTCACGTGTGATTGAAGCCTGGGCCGCTCGGGAAAGAGTTCTCAAGGTGCGTGCTGAGTTCTTCAGGTTTTGTTGTTCTAGATGAGTCAGGTTTTCATAAACCTGACCCTTTAGTTATCTATTAGAAGGGAAGGGGGAAAGGAAGAATGGGGAGAATACACATTAACGCTCTTGCCAAAGTCAGTATTTCCTGTGTCCCCGTTAGCTGCTGCTGCATAGCAACTACCCCCCCCCCCCCTTGCTTTCGACCTTTTATGCCTGTCAAGTTGGGGCTCAGGAACCTGGGCAGACCACACTGGGCTCTGGTGCAGGCAGCACACATCCTCTCCATGTGGTCTCTTTAGCCAGGTGGTCAGACTTCTTACGTGGCACTTCAGGGCTCCAGAGCCCTGGACAGGAGCGGCAGTGTTCTTCCTACTGTGCCCAGGACTGGCTCAGTGTTCTGTCCATTGCCCTGCAGGCAGAGTTGGCCTGACGGAGGGAGGATGGGAGACAGCAGCCACCTCCCCCCATCCACTGCAGCAAACAGTTATGGTCATATCCTTGCCGCCCAGGACTGTGATATTTCCCCACTACCTGTTTTATAAGACCTTGTCCTAAGTAGTTAAACAGCAGAGTTACAGATTTGCTAGCTGTTTTCTTCTTTCTAATATTATATAACAATTAGAATTTTATTCAAGAATCACCTCGAATTATGTCATGTATCACTTTAGGAAACACTGGCCAAAATGACTCGCTTTAATGGCCACCTTCACTGTTGGTGGGTAGGAAGTTGTTCCTTCCTGCGTGGCCCTGTGGGTGTCTCCTGTGGGATGAAGGCCGTGCTCCTCTAGCTCAGTGCTCACTGCTCACTCGCCAGGGAATGTGGCCTCGTTAACACTGGTCATGGTTTGGTTGCATTTCCCCATTAGGTATGGATGAGAAAGGTGACCCAAGCAATGAGGAAGCCCCCAAGGTCATCAAACCCACCAGTAAAGAGTTTAGGAAAACGTGGGGGTTCCGAAGGACCACCATTGCTAAACGAGAGGGCGCTGGGGACGCGGAGTTAGACTCTGTGGATCAGCAGCCCCAACAGCAGCAGCAGAGCCTGTCCTTGCGACGCAGTGGGAGGCAGCCGAAGCGGACCGAGAGGGTGGAAGAGTTTCTCACGACAGTCCGGCGCAGAGGGAGGAAGACTGTGTCTGTCTCCCCTGAGGACCCCAGTGAGCCAACCTCCTGCCCAGTCACAGATGTCGAAACCGCTTCTGAGGGGAGCGTCGAGAGCACCTCTGACAGTAAAAGTGGGCCCAAGGTCGGCCCCACGGGCAGTAAGGAACGACCAGCCTCATCTGCAAAAGGCAAAGGAGGTGATGGTGAAGATGATACCTCCGATAGTGACAGCGATGGGTTGACGTTGAAAGAACTTCAGAATCGCCTACGAAGAAAGCGAGAGCAAGAGCCAGCTGATCGGCCCCAGAAAGGTGTCCAGAGTCGCCTGAGAAAGAGGCGTCGGGAGGAGGAACTGACAGAAACTGTGGACATGGAGATGGCCAATGCTGTGGAGAACTCCCTGCCCAGCCAGCAGGAGCCCACAGCTGAGCAGGCAGCGAGTGATGACAGAGAGAGGAAGTCGGAAGGGCGGGCGGCCCAGGGGGTCAATGAGGAGGACCCTGGAAGCTCGGTCAAGCATAAGCCCGAGTGTGAGGTGTACGACCCCAACGCTCTGTATTGCATATGTCGACAACCTCATAATAACAGGTAGGTCATGGGCAAGGAGGATGCTGGCTGCCCCGGGTTTCAGGGAAATCCGAGAAAAGCAGTGGGAGAGTTTTCCATCCGATTTGATTCAGGGTTACAGAGCTGGTCTGAAGGAGCAGCTTGTGACATTGAAAAAGATGAGCGAGCCATTGTCAAGAGAGACTCTGGAGCCACGTGCTGCATACACGTGGTCAGCATTGCCTTGTCACGCTGGTCATGTGCAGCTAGGGGCCAGTGTGCAGGGTGGCGCAGGCTAAACTCTCACTGTCGTCCCGGAGGTCTCTCTCGGGTAGCGCTGCTCTGGTGGCGTTAGGGAACCTTGGTGTGGTTTGTCGGGTGGGAGGATGGCGGTGTTGCTCTTCTGTGGAGAAGGTGCTGAAGTAGTGGGGCGGGCAGGGGCCTGTAGCTCATTCGTAATGCTCCACTCTAAACAGTGTGAGAAGGGTACATTGTGATCTTGCCCTGACTCTACTTTTCTGTATGTTTGCATTTTTTTAAGTGTTGAAACCAGCTTGACTCCCTAATATGTCTAAAATTGAGTGTTTATATCTTTGTTTTCCAATTCTGGTTATTTTCTCATTTCAGGTTTATGATTTGCTGTGATCGGTGTGAAGAATGGTTCCATGGCGATTGTGTGGGCATTTCTGAGGCTCGGGGGCGGCTCCTGGAGCGGAACGGGGAGGACTACATCTGCCCCAACTGCACCATTCTGCAGGGGCAGGACGAGCCTGCCTCAGAGACCGCCGGCCAGCAGGAAGCAAGGCTGCGGCCTGCAGACGCGGACGGCATGGGCTGGACAAGCATTGGGACCATAGAACAGAAATCCAGCGAAGACCAAGGAATAAAGGGAAGAATTGAGAAGGCTGCAAACCCGAGTGGCAAGAAAAAGCTCAAGATATTCCAGCCTGTAAGTATTGCCTCCTGAGGTCAGTGATGGAGGGCAACCTTACAGATCTGACTTCTCCCGACAAACATCAAGACTCAAGGAGTTTCTTTCTTTTGGAAAATTTAGGCTTCCTCAGAAGCAGCGTCGCATCTGGTGAGGGCCAGCTTGTAGGAAAGCAGTCCAGCTCTGTGGAACTCCGTGTCTAGCTCCTGGGCTCTTGCTTTACTCAACGTTGCCCTTAAATGGACTTGCTTGTTAAAAGTTAGTCTTTCCACCCTGGCCAGTATAGCTCAGCAGTTAAGAGCATTGGCCATGGACTGAGGGGTCATAGGTTTAATTCCCGATCAAGGGCATGTACCTGGGTTACAGGTTCAATCCCTGGTTGGGGTCATGCTGGGGGCAACCAGTTGATGTGTCTCTCTCACATCCATGTTCCTCCCTCCCTCCTTCTCTTCCACTCCATCTAAAAATCAATGAAAAAAGATCAAGTGAGGATTAACCACAAAAATCTTTCCCTGAGTGTTCTGGGTATGAAGCCATGTGTGACATACTCACAGTCATCTTGGAGTTGAAGTGAGTGCCTCGCCCATGTGACACCATCTTGGTAGAACTTGGGGTCTTTTCTTTTTTTCTCTCCCAAAAGCACTTGTGAGAATTTACTGAAATCCCTTCCCTATGGCTTCAAACTGCTAGGACATGGTACCCCCCACCCCAATACCCTTACTCTTCTCCTCGGCTCTTCTGCTGAAGAACTTGGCCTTCACTATGACAGGCTGCTGTGGGAGCCTTCCCTGCCCCAGCACTCAGTAGCCGGATCGTACCACGTTGGTGACAGGAGTCACTCTAGTCTTGTATTTGGCAACATTTACCTATGTCTGCTCCCTGACCAAGGCCCACAGTTTCCAAGGTTGGCAGTTGGGCAGAAGCTTTGGGTCCTCTTTAAGTGCCAGTGCCTCAGACCAGCTCTCCCAGAGGACCCTGGGAAATATTTATCAGTGTTGATCCTACGATGGTGCCAGCACCAGCCTTACCTTGGCCTCTTGGGTGCTTCCTGTGCTTGCCAGTGCAGCCGTGGCCTGTGTGGCCCAAAGGTTCAGGTCTCCTGCAGTTGGGATGGTACACTGGCAGCCAAGATGTGAGAGGGCAAGAGCCATGGCCTTGAACCTGCATTGCTGGGGATGCCAGGGGGTGGTGGTGGCAGCACTCATGTTACCTGGGAGATGAATGCCCTCCACCAGGGACGGCCCAAGCCCGGTATCTGCGGCTCCTGTCTCTTCTACCTACGCCAGCTGCTTACTCCATTCCCCTTCCCAGCTGGTTTTTAAGCCCCTTCAGAGCTGTGATTATTTGTCGTATTTTCCATGGATCATCATCTTCCACCGTGGAGAGCCATCTCGGGCTCTTCTGATGGCCCTGCTCAGGGCATGTTTTTACTCCCAGTCTTCCTGAGTCCTGGCCACTGTTGAATGGACACCCCTGGCTGGTCACCTGGGCTGATGGAGAGGACGACTCCACTGGGTCTGCCCCACCCCACAGCCTGTGCAGGTGTCTGGTGGGCGGTGGCTGTGTCAAAAGGCGTTTCTGCCTTGACACCTGCATTGTGTTAGCAGGGGCTGCAGGATTCGGACGGTGGTTCTGAGATGTTTGCAGGTACTCAGTGGAAATAGGAGATTTAACACCTTTAGTCATTAGAAAGAGTTAATAGAAATGGAAATTAGTGGGAAAAGTCATCTTCATGTGTCAATGTATCTGAAATTACATGCTTAATTTTTATCTTGAGTAAAATTTGTGTTCTATGGAGGAAAAACAATTATCTCAAATTTAATGTGAGACCCAAGATTTTGCTCAAGTCCTGGCCTGTTTGGCTCAGCAGTTAGAGCGCTGACATGCGGACCAAAGAGTTGCGGGTTTGATTCCAGTCAAGGGCACGTACCTTGGTTGAGATTCAGTCCCTGGCCTTGGCCGGGGTGTTGCAGGAGGCAACCAATAGATGTGTCTCTTTCACATTGATGTTTCTCACCCCCCCCCCCCCCATTCTGAAGATAAATGGAAAAATATCCTCGGGTGAGGATTTAAAAGATTTTGTTCAGGTCCATTTGAGGACTGTCTGTGTGGTCTTGACCATCGGACGTACTCTGCGGTGACGAGCGGAAGCTCTGGCGCATGTGGTGTGTCAGGTTCCTAGCTCGTGACAGCTGTGAGCTTGGTGGGAAAGACACACTTCTCAGTTCAGTCTCCGTGGGTCAGAAAGGGGCCTGGCTTAGCTGGGCCCTCCACTCAGGGCCATCTGAGGCTGCTCTCCAGGGGCCAGTGGGGGTCTGGGTCTCAGGCTGTATAGGGAAGATCCACTTCAGAGGTTCTCACGTGGTTAGTTTATGAAGGTGTCCTGTGTGATTTTGTGGCATGCTTATACTAAAAGGTATTTGTTATTTATCTGACATTAAAACCTAATCAGGGTCTGACCCTCAGAGCTCAGCCACAGTGCCCCGCACAACCGGGCTGCTTTCTTCAAAGTCAGCAGAGGTGTCCTCTCTCCTTGGACAAGCCCATCTTCTTTGTCAAGGGTTCTCATCTGACTTAAGTCAGACCTTTTCGATTAATTCAAAAGCATCTCATTTGGGACCTTAGCTACATCTACAAAAATCCTTGTTTGTTTGCCTTATAAGGAAACGTAATTGTGTGAAAGCACATCTCCTATGGCGGGACCCAGAGCTTGTGTCCCCACAAAGGGCGTGGTGACGGTTGGGGTGTGCATGCCTTACAGGGGGAGTCACCTCTTGAGCTTTGAGTAAACAGAAGGTAGTCTTTTTTCATGTTAAAAATATTGTGTCTCTTGATTAAAAGCAGTACCCTTAGCACCAGCAACAGTGATTTTACAAAGCATCTTAGCTACTGGAATGGTAAGTCCGAGGTCACGTGTTCTATTCTGCAGGTCGCAGAGGCCCCTGCTGCTGCGAAGTGCATTGGGCCCGGGTGCTCGAGAGTGGCACAGCCGGACTCTGTCTACTGCAGCAGCGACTGCATTCTGAAACACGCCGCCGCCGCCATGAAGTTTCTGAGCGCAGGGAAGGAGCCCAAACAAAGACCTAAAGAAAAGGCCAAGACAAAGCCAGAAAAGCTCATTCTTCCCAAATGTAGTGTTCAGGTAAGTTGACCAAGACCCAACCATCATTTGAGCAGTCGAAACAAAAGCACATACGTGTTCCAGACCCACTGGCTTGTGTGTAGAGTGTAGAGACAGTGGTGTAGATGGAAGTCAGGTACTGACTGTCCCTCTCCCGTCGTCCACCTTTTTCACCAGTCCTGTTGCCAGAATTACCAGTGACCATACATATATATTCTCATGTTTTCTTTTCTCTGCCCTCTAGCCGAGGGATTGACTAATGTGGACGCAGTAAAGTAAACCCAGGCAGCTGGCTGCTGCCTAAACAAGCAGCCTCCCGAGAAGCAGTGGTGACTGTTAGAGCCGTGTGGAAAGTGCAGTCCCAGGCAGCCAGCGGCGGTGGGGAGTGGGCTCTGAGGCAAGGCTGTCTCACTGAGACCTGGCTCTCCGGTGGTCTGGTTTGAGACACGTGTGGTTTGGGAAGGGTCGGGTGCTTCAAGAATCAGGCCCTCGCCTCCTACTGGAGGGCCTCCTGGGTTAGCTCAGGTTGCATGGCTGGGGGTGGGGGGGGCATTGCACTTGTGACAAACAAGCTTTTGATGGAGAGTTTTCTTGACATATTTAAATGCTTATTTGGCCTTTAGATTGTCCAATTTTTAAGGCTGGTAATTTTGAATCAGAACTGTGTATCTGGTAAGAGTGATTGTGCAGGTTGCCTGGCGGAGAGTTGTGGGAGTGTAGGGACCCTGGCCTTGTCGCCCGGTACCCTCTCTCACCCCGCAGTGCTGTGGGCACATTCTCATGGAAGCCCTTCCCACCTGACTCTCGCCTCCCTTCACTGCTGCTCAAGGACTTGCTTTGTGTTCCCCTGGTCTCACGTCACTCAGAGATTGAAATTTGTCCTGGCCAATGCAGTGGGATGCTGAGGGGTCAGCTGGTGGCGAGTGCTGTTGACCCTGGTGTTGAACAAGCACAGTTTGGGGAGGGGGCTTGACGTGACCCTGAGCATGCCCTTGCCTTCATTGAGGAGGGAAGTAAGCGAAGATTGGCTTCTGACCTCCTAATGGTTGGGGTTTCACTGATTATCCAGGCAGGTGTTAAAGTCTCTTCTGTGCACAAGAGACCCGTTCCAGACAAGAAGGAAAACGCTGTGAAGAAGGCGGTGGTGGCCCCTGTTCGGAATGAGGTCCTCGTGAAGGAAGCGACTTGTGAGAGCAGCACGCCGTCCTGGGCGAGCGACCACAATTACAATGCAGTAAAGCCAGAACAGACTGCTGCCCTGTGGCCGTCACTGTTGTGTAAATGTATGTATCACCTAGGGGTGGCCTCTGGACCCTTCCCCATCTTTCTGGATGGCCGTCCACTTGGGACTGTCCAGAGCTAGGAGTGTAGCCAATGCAGCTCGTCCTTAGACCGTTTCCCATAGTCCTACAAACCTCAGTGTTGAGCGTAGCACCTGGTGGTTGAAGCTTAATCTGTTTTCGTTATCAGGCACTGGTAAGTATGTGTATCGTTGCCAACAAAATCCAACTGAGCAGGTACACTTGCCCAGAACTCTGGGTTTATCACCATCCGACAGGTGCATTATTACCACCGCCCTGGTAGCTGTACGGGTTTTCCACACTGTCCTTCAGCATGTGTGGTCATCACTCCCTTGTATGGTGTGGGTGCTCTTTCTGCAAATTAGTGTTGCACTGGGAGTCGACTGAAGTACGATTTCTGAGCGGAGAGAAAATTTTCATGTTTAGTGCACATACTACACACCCACATAAACACACACTCCAGGTCTGAAGCCCACTTGAGCTCTGTGTGTCCCAGGTAAGTGGGTGAGGTGTCTCCTGAAGCAGCCTGCCACGAGCGGCCGGCCTCCACACTTCTCCGGATGCTGGGCTGGGAGGTCACGCCCCCGCCCCCCACCTCACAGGAGGGAGTCGAGGTATTGCCCATCAGTCTTTGAAACCCCAAATTCTGTTACGCAGCAGTCTTGTGTTTCTTGTTTTTCAGCTTAACTCTCCAAAATTAAATTGATCTACGGGGCACATCTTACTCTATTACTGAGATGATTTCTGTTCCGCTTTTATTTGTGCTGTCTTTTATACTGTGTTAACGTACAGAACGGTTAAAAGCCTGGATTCCAGGATTATGGAGGTGTGCTGCCTTCTCCTTTCAGTCCCTCCAACAGTAGCCGAGGGAGGGTGCGTGGAGGTAGGTGCTGAGCCAGTGCAGTCAGAAAACATGTAACTGAAGACTCGCTCTGAGAATGTAAATGGCCTGAGACCTAAGTAAATTGCAAAATAATACTAGATTTTAATTTTTATTCTAGGAATAAGTAGTTAAACACAGTTAACCACTTGTGTTGAAATGAGTTTGATACATTTTAGGTGTTTAAGAATTTCATGCTAACAACATGTCTCACATTTTATCAAGTTGTAGACCTCTACAAAGTATCACTTTACAGAGGCCATAAACATGCCTAAAACACATGTCACTTAGATGTGAGCAGGTGGGTGGTCACCCTGGCGTCCCTGTGCAACGTGCTCCAAGGACGTGCTTGGACGCAGGCACACGGCAGAACCCGGAAACCAAGCACAGTCGCCAGAGCCCTGGCAGCTGGTTTCCATCTTTGACTAGAGCTGGAAAGCTGCCCCGCGGCACCGTGTGGAGGGTGGGGCAGCCGGCTCTCCCTGGACTCTTCCCTCTGTGGTCTTGAGGGAAGAGGAATGGGGGTCCACCGAGGCCAATGTCTCTGCTCACAGACCCGGTTTTCTTCTCTCCACCTCCTCCCTCCCTCCTCATCAGCTCCGCCCTGAAGCCTGACTGGCTTCAGGTGACAGAAAGTTGAAACAAAGTAATAACGGACCCTTCCTAGCACACTGATACCTCAGAACACAAGCTGATGGATATCCAGAGATGAGTGAATGCATTGGGGACATATCGGAGCTAGTTGCTTTTGATCTTTTTGTGGTGGTGGTATCCAGGAAATGTCATCTTCCCAGAAGGTGATTGGGAAGACAGTAAAAGGGTGTCATTGGTCAAGTGTCAACTCCAGCCCTGGTGAGCAGCAGCTGTGTCTCCACTTCTGACCCAGACGTCCTTCTCGTCAGATAGTGGGTGGTGGCAGAGCGCAGCACACACACGGCCTGCGTCCCCACGAGGACCCCACGTGCCTCCCTGGCCAGCTGCACAGTGTGCTTTTCTGGGTGGGGTGGTGAGAGCTGGGGTGCAGCTGGTGCTGAGACACTGACCTGGGTTTAGGGGTACGTGGACCCTTACTCAGCCCAGAGAGCCAGCATGCTGCTTCTGGCAGCGCTCTGGGCTTCCCCCCTTTTCTAGTTCCTGATGCTGACCTTGGATTGTGGATGCAGGGACATTTGTCAGTGAACATGATGGGGGACCCTCCATCAAACCAGCATGACGTTCTCTCCTCCTCCTCATGAAAATATCAGTAGGTCCTTCATGTTCTCAGAGTAATGCAATTAACATAAAATCATTCCTGATTGATTTTTTACGTTGCTTTTGAGGTTTTCTGTACTTTAATTTGTGGAAACAATTGTTTTTTTAATTTCTACCCCCAAATCAATCATGTTTATGCTCTTCTAGTTTTTTTTTCCTCTTCATTTCCACTATTGGTTCACCTCCCATTACTGTTAAGGCATGGAGAGAGCTTACTTTTTTTCCTAAACCGCCCCGGGTTCATTAGAAAGAATGTGAAAGTGGGATTCTGCTGTTCATATTCAGGGGCACAGTTTCTAGTATTTTGGACTCCTAATGACTCATTAGGTGACTAAAACACTGAGGATCTGAACAAATTTTGACAGAAATATGAGGTTTCTACAGTTCCATCTAGCTTTGAGAATTAAAACGGAGAACCCTAGGAGAACCAGAACACCCGTATCCGGACGGTGTGTTAACATGTCCAGATGCAGCAATTCCCCCGTCCCTGTGCGGGCCACACAGATCGTCCCCGAGCCGTGGAGAAGTGGATGGAGAACACGGACTCTCGCAAGGGTGACTAATGGCGCGGGCTCCAGGAGCACGTTACAAATCATCCGAGGAAACGAGTTTCCTGTAATAAATATGTGGGGGATCCTAGAACCCAGGCGGGTTTGTAGACATTTGCCGCGGGGTGGGGTCCTGTGTTCTGTTGGCTGCGTAAGCCATGTGACCTCTCTTCCAGGGCTGGGGACAATAAAAGGTGGCTGGGGACAAACCAGACTTGTACATATGAACCAATTTCTTCTCCCCAGTTAGGAAAAACCAACGCTTGTACTGATGAAGGATTTAGTTGGACAACTGTTTTTAATGTTCTCCATACAGCTGCCGTTTCTGAAGTGTACTTTTTCAGCATTGCAATAGCAACTGCTTAGCAAATTTGGTCAGGGAAAGGTTTCACATGTACATAAACTGAAAAGTTTGAGATGAAACCCCTCAGAAGTACCCTGTGCTGCAGCCCATGGGGGAAGGGGGGAGGGCTAGGAGTTGCCAGCTCAGGATAGGTCCTGCTCCCTCCACCTGTTCTTCAGTGACCTTCCTGTGACCTTGTGGATCTCTGGGTCCACTCTGATACTGTTTGAAGATTAATGCTCTGGAAAGTCCCTCTGGTGGCATCAGTGTCAGAGTCCAAGGTCCCCTCTGAAGATGCTGCAGGTCTGCTGTGCTGCCCAGTTTCACGTGTACGTGTCTGAAGTTGTAAAATACTTAACATTCTTAATCTTGTGCATGGCCCAGCACCGTGCGCACAGTCCTCTTCTCAGCCCTGGGAATCACAGACGTAGACCTGAGTCAGAGGTTTGGCCACTTTCATTTGTTAAATGAAGTTTAGCGCCACTGTCATTGCGCAGGTGGACCGGAGGAGCTCGGCTGGAAGAGCGCCAAGGTAACTGCTGCCTCCTGCGGGTCTGCACAGCCACCCGCCCACCCTGGGCGCCTGCCCGTGTGGCCCTTGGTGACCAGGATCTCACAGGGAGGGTCTGAGGCCCTTGGCCCCATCACGTTGGGTGAAGTAAACCATTTGGGCACAGATGATGTTGGTTAAACTGGGACCGTATTAAAGTGAGGAGCCTGCCTGAGGGCCGACATGCGGCAGAGCAGCTGCTGTGCGCGGCTGGGCTGTCTGCCTGCCCCTTTAAGTGACAGCCCTGAGCACATTACTCTAGTGTTTCTACTGGAGAAAAATGGGGCCATTTCTTTCATATGCTGCCAATTCAACATGGATTTTCAAAACACAGACTTAAAATGAAGGGCATTGACCTCCAGATACATACTTGGGTTTTGGCAGGTTTCTTATGGAGAGTTTTATGCACCTCTCCGTTAAGGTGTAAATCACCCAAATACGACATCAAACAAGTCAATTAGGGAAGATTTGCATGGCCCAGACCACAGCCTTTCAGACCTCTAGACGCACCAGTGACGGCCTCCAGTCTGAGCGGTATTTGGGAGGTGGCAACAGGGCACTCGTGTTTTCTAATAAAAGCAAATCTACCTTATTGAACAGAATAATGCAAAATATTTAAGCAAACGCACAAAAGCAAAATTATTTGCTACTATTGATTTTTCACACTAGGAAGAATTTTTATCAGGAAGTAAAAGTTGCAGTGAGAAACTTCATTGTGCACGGGGCCCACTGAGCTGCAAACAACTGAAGTCACAGGGAGTAGGATTCACGTTCACTCCTCCACTGTACCCTCCAAGCCCTCGTTTGGGCCCCTGCAGAGACCGTCTGTAGCGGTGGCCGCCCTGCAGGCTGGAGCGAGACGCCGATCCCCAAGTCACTGGGCAGCTCCAGGGAGGGCGCGTGCCTGCAAGAGCCTCCAGTTACTTCCCTGCACCTGCCCTGCGGTCTGACTCAGCTGTCACACCACATGCCCGCTCGACTTCTTTGGCTTTATAGCCATTTTTGAGAAGCAGGCCTTCCCCAGGTGTAAGAATGGCTCTAATTGGGATTTTTTTTTTTTTAGGGTAAATTGGCACGTGGGTAGGGTAGGGTGGGGTATAGAGCAATATGCAGATATTCAGGGCTTCTCACCAGGTGTTGTTCCTGTGCAGGGTTGTCCCGTGACGCCTGCCCCTAGATGTAGGTATTAGGGGCTGTGTTGAGTGCGTGCACCCCCATATTTACTCCTAGTTCTGCTATAACTTCATTTGGGCGTCTGCACAGCCTCCACGCAGGGATCACAGCAAGACTGCTAGTGGAGATTCTTGTCCTCCGGTCTTTGCTGAGGCCCGCCAGTGCCACCCAGTGGCCAGCAACGCTGCAGCGCTGTAGCACCACAGCCTGCCTTGCAGTGTGACAAGGCCCCTCGCT